TTTCGGCGGCTCTCCCCCACTTTTTTTTGTTTGTCTTTTTTTTTTATTTAACAAAAACCCCCCCCCCCCCCCCCCAATCCTCCCGCCATGCACGCTTGGCAGACTATCTTGGCCGTAGCCCTAGGCTGCCACCTTGCCAACGCCGCCGAGTGGAGGATACAAGCTGCCGCGATCGTCACCGGAGCTCTCATTCCTCGACAGGAGCAAACATGCCCCGAAGCAACAGAAACACTGTGCAGAGATGGGACTGGGGGATGTTGCCCTTCTGGCTCCGCTTGCACATTTATATCAGGCAAACCTAGGTGCGCAACTGGCTGTAATGGCGGTCCCAATTGTGCCGATGGAGGCTGCTGTAATATTGGATATAACTGCCCTACACTTGGCGGCAACTTTTGTCAACGAGCAACCAATTTCATTCCCGCGCCTATTCCAACTATGACGATCCCCCCTTCCCTTACGTTTCCAACTGAGACTGCGGAAGCTCCCACTACTGAGAGTGCTTCGGAGCCTACGATTACTTCTATCTCTACAAGTATCTTGGAGCCTTCCAGCACATCGGAGTCAAGTAGCACGTCGGAGCCAAGCAGCACGTCGGAGCCTTCCAGCACGGAGCCGACCATTACAGCTGCCTCAAGCACCAATATTGTGACTTCGTCGTCTAGCCCAGGAGATGCATCAAATACTGCGTCTGAATCATCTGAACCGTCTCAATCATCCGACTCCCCATCGGCGACGGAATCATCCACAGATAACGCGACTCTCGCGGCAGCAACACCAGAAACTGCCTCCGGTATTGCCGGCTCATTGTCGGCGAGCTGGGATTCATGGATGGCGTTGGCTATTATGGCGCCTTTCATTTTGTGAAGCATCATGTGTAATTATAATCTTTTTTGAGAGTCCTGTTTAGTTAGCAGAAATAATTCTTTAGGAAAGGGTGACACTTCTTCTTCTCTTGTTCAGCAAGGCTTACTCAATACTTGGATTATCTTTCAGGTGACTATGGACTTGCCAGCTCTCATATAGTCCCCTGTAAGGTATTGCCTGCAAAGCATAGGTTGGTAGAAAGGACCATCGACAAGTCGAAACAAGACAAACACCTGGTTATATCACATGATCCATATGTATCAAGTATGAAAATTACCAGTATCCTTCCTGTATTCCGACATCTTGAGGTTCATTTGTTCATTGTAAGCTACCTAACTTGGTCATGTACCGAACATTTTTCATCCTAATCCTCGCAACCATGGGTGATATCAAGGGTAAGAATGTAAGCGAGTCTGGTGTATCGATATTTCCATGTTAGAAGTGGAAGGTTAGAAGTGGAAGGTAGCTACCGAGGTTGTCCATGTTGAAGGAACCATGCCTCTCGCACATCAAAGAGGCTTCCCATGTCCTGGTTGTTTCGGTAGCAGCGGAGTGACTTCCAGGCATTCCCTGTACGGCTGGTCGGCTTGCGGCCATCGATTTGTAGAATCTTCAAGACGAGTGCTCCTGGCGAGGGGATATTGGGAACGATGATCTCGTCCGGCTCACTATCAGTAGTTGGAGGCGGAATTGGGACTGGATCTTTCTGTTGTTCGGTATTTGGGGGTTTATTAATTTCATCCCGCTCAGCCTCAGCGGGTGCCTCAATGTGTGTAGATAAATGTGGTCCAAGGAGCTCTGAGGGCTCAGAGGTGGAAGAAAGTACCGAAAAGGGGGATTCTGCCCACGAGGGCTTTTGGGGGGAGGATTCTGCTGCAGCTCTGTTATTTTCTGCGATTTTTGCAGTCAAGATTCTCATCACAGAAAAAGAATCCGTGGTATTCTGCTCATCGCGTTGGGACACTTCTATTTCCTGGGGAACCTCGACTTTTTGGGACGGCGGTTCGGATTGCTTTGGCTGGGTTTTACGTGGTCGTCCTCTCTTTTTCACTGGGGGTTGAGGTTCTGGCTCAGGAATCGTGCGCTTGGGTTTTCGATTTCGCGTACCACCAGGGCTGAAAATAACAACGCTGAATGGGGTATCTTGTTGGCTCTCTTCGTTATTTGAAGGTGAAATGACTGGCTGTGTGCCGGTAGCGGTATCGGTATCGCTATTTATCTCAGTGGAGGATGTAAAGACCTCATGTGGCGCTTTACCGGTGTCGACCTTTATCTCCTCGCCATCGGAAGTTGCGTGAGTGGCCTGCGATGGCTGTAGCTGTGTGTCGATGTCGACTTTCATATCTTCTTTTCCCTTCTCTGGTATCGAAAATGACCCCGCCTTATCGAAATTGCTTCGAAGAAAGACTCGTTCACCGGGTGGAATCGCAAAAGTCAATCTTGGCCCAACACAGTCAAGGACCTGTAGTAGTTAGTAAATGGCAGAGCAGTATACGGAGTGGATAGATCTATACATACCATGACTTCCTTTTCGATGATAATTCTGCCAGAGCCCCTACCGAAAATATGGTAGAATTTCCAGATATCGCCCGGCTGTATAACACCTTCATCTATAAGAGTTCCCAACCTCACACTCGCACTTTCTCCAGCCATCGCATACCAGTTGACTTTTTGCTTCTGGCCCCAGAACTCTTCATATTCCCGCTCTTTGAAGTCGTCAAAGTCGCCGTCTTCGCGCTCCTGTTTGGCTTCCTGCGCCTCCCGCAGCCATTGGGGGTCGTAACGGCCGTGTTGGAGATCGAGCTGGAACTGTCGAATGCCGTCGCGCCAGTTGTTTGAATAGCGGAGAAAAGAGTCGGGAATGGGTTTGATCTTTGCGTTAGGGTCATCCGATATAGCTTCTGCCTCCGGATGAACATCTGGGGGAAGTAGAGAGAGGATTTCGCGCTTTTCACTTTCCTCAAGGCAATTCCATGCTTCAGGTCGCGCCAGCAGTTTCTAGAAATTTTTAGCCTATCGTTAGCTTAGATAATCTGGTATCGCATTTGTGAAGGATTGGCTCATACCACTAGATCCATATCAATAAGCAGGGACTTATCGCTCGTCAATAGCTGCTCCTCGCTCCATTTCCCTCTAGCAGCAGGTCTTCTTGGGGTCCTAGCTTGTGAGCCCGCTTCAGATGTTGGGGTCGACATGACGAGACCTAACTGTTCTGCTATATCGGCAGAACTAGCAGTACTATGGCATTATTATAAGACGTCAGTGGAAAGGAGAGTGATAAGCAAATGCTCACCGTGGTTCTGCCGCACGGGACCTTCCTACCGCCTTTGCGTCGCTCTTCCTCGGAGCCATTCTCACAGCAAAACAAAGGGGAAAGCGCTGTCCTTCAGAACAAAAGAGCAACGCTTTCAGGATGGTGAGGTCAACGCAGATTGCAAGGCTCGACGGTGAGGAACTCTCTGCGAGGTTGGGAGGATGCGTAGTGCTGATGTCAAAGTGAAACAGGCCTTATGCTGGCAGCCTCGGTCGACGACGAGCAGGTACGTGACAACGATTATTTAAGCTGATCTGGAGCTTACAATATCCGTAGGCTGAATCGGAGCTCTCTGAGATTAAGAGTCAGGCTAAAATGATATTTCGGCGATTGAACCGCAACTCCGCACCCCAAGCCAGTATTGAGTCTGGCCAATACAGTCTACAGTAAGTCTCAGCCAGCAATCAACAAACATTGCCAATGGACAATCTCTCACATGCCTTTCAGCTACACAATTCAGGACGATATATGCTTTCTATGCATTTGCGACAAGTCCTACCCCCGCAAACTCGCATTTACCTATCTCGCTGATCTGGCCTCCGAATTCACGACTACCTATACCTCCTCACAGTACCTCTCACCAAACCTCCGTCCCTATGCCTTTGTCGAGTTTGATACCTTTATCCAGCGCACAAAGAAATTGTACCAAGACAGTCGCGCGTCTCAGAATCTTGACAAGCTGAACGATGAGCTCCGTGATGTCACCAAGGTGATGACAAAGAACATCGAGGACCTCTTGTATCGAGGCGATAGTTTGGAGCGGATGGGTGAACTGTCGGGGCGACTCCGCGAGGATAGCAAAAAATACAGAAAGGCGGCTGTACGCATCAACTGGGAATTGTTGCTGAAGCAGGTGGGTCTATACTTTGCGTCAGATTTCCCCTGAACGATCTTGGCTAACCATCTCACAGTATGGACCTTTCGCTGGCGTCGGGCTTGTCATTTGCATCCTTCTTTTCTGGCGATTCTTCTGATTCCTTGCTCTCCGTGGCCATGCTCATAGGCCTCGCTGTATGAATGTACGCATAGTTAATACCTCGGTGATTGCGGGTTACAATCCGCCGATTCTAGAACACAGAGAATTGCTTGAACATGTATCGTATTTGATGATGTCTAAATCTCATCCTCTTCTTCATCGAAATCGTCTTCCTCTCCCATGTCGTAAAGAATCCGACCTCCTTCGCCTGGGCCATCGTTATGCTGTGCGTCGAAGTACGGCAACACAACACCTTCTCTTTCGCGCCTCTGTCGGTCGGTGAGACCCAGCTCAAAGGTCGACGTTGGTTCCTCATCACCCGCGCTTGGATCTCGCTCCATAGGAGGATTGTACAGAACATTATCGTCAAGCAACGTCACGATCTCTTTCGGATGCTGTGGCGAATACCGTGAGGCAGGCGGGAGAAGGTACCATTCCAGTACACCACGGCCACTCTTCCGCCTGTGCTCCAGTTCAATAACAATTCCCTCGGCTTGGCCAGTACCAGCCAATCTGTCCAATCGGCCGAGGAGAATGCCTTCTTGCTCTTCCTCAAGCCCGAAGACTGGAGGAGCCAGACTGCGGTCGCGAGCAGCCTTCTGTGCTAGAACGTGCGAGAACGAATGAAGTGTGATGATGCTCGTAGCGAGGTATGTCAACACAGAAATAGGAGATGGTGAGTAGGGACTTTGCTGTGGAAGTTCGGGGACATCTTGATGATGTGTCATCACGAGTGACACATCAACCTTGGCCGATGGCGAAGTGGGAGCAATAATCGAGCCAAGGAAGGAGGGTAAATCAAATCCAGGGTCGACTCTTTTTGAGTTCAGAAGGGGGTTAATAGAGTCAATGAGGATAAGACGCCCTACTCGGGCAGTAAGTATGCGTCCACTAGCGGGGTTAAATCCACAATGCTTACTGCGTGAGGAGTTGGAGGCTGCAACAGGCTGATAAACTGCGCTCACTTCTTTAACTATATCGGCAGGGCTCTTGCGGCGTGTTGATACAAAAGCATCGACTCCATCCGGTTGCTTCAGGGTTTCAAAAGCGACGAGTGTGACATGGACTTTGGATAGCTGTCGAACTAGTCAGCATGGCTGTCCACCCCGTACCTAGTGAGCCAGATGTCGCTAGTGGTATAATTTTCAGCCAATATACCTTTGCACGTCTGATATATTCTTTCAGGAGTGGCGTAGCCGGTTGCTCCAAAGAATCTAAGACAAGCGTGAGGGGCGATGCAGTGTCACGCAAGCTCAAGAGTTTCGAAATCAAGAGTAAGTTGTGCGTTCGCCTGTGTGAAAGATTGATAGGGGCCATCTTTTCTTGATATTAAATACTCTTCTCGTCTAATTGCTTTCTGGAGACGTAGGTTGACGACCACATAGGAAGTGGGGTTGTGCTGCGAAAATTTCGTGGTGGGATTTAAAGTTGAGGCTCCACGAGCCGGCCCGCGGGCTAGCCATTTCTGTGGGGCAGACAGACGGTGCTTCGAAAACAATGTGAACAAACGGAATAGACAGACAATGTTAGCGTATCGGTGATGAAGGGAGTTATCATGGGGAAAGAAAGGTGGTGAATCACCTCAGACGGGTTACGCCGGTCTCTACTTCCTTATTTGTCAACTCGGACATCAATTGAGCGCACTTACCCATCCTGTCCTATCTTTCCTTGTGCCTTGTAAATGCAATTGACAATAGGAAACCGACCCTAGTAGATTAGGAAATAAATATCCGTTCTTCTATTCTTCCCAGCTTTGAACCTCAACAAGAGAAATTTCGTGCTGTGAATCAGGCTTTGGCAAAGCTACAAGTGGAGCTACAGTATATCGTTCAAAGTCACCTGGAGCCCCTTATGACTATGGAGAAAGCTAAATAGTACCGATTGGAGCTCATAGAAGAACGTGGACTCAGAGCATGAATCGAGTAACTTCAATATGTGTAAGCATAAATGAGAAATCCGATAGTCAGACTGACTCAGGTTTATGGCGTAGCTTATTGGTCTAACATAGTTTCCGATTATGTAGTGTAATGGATAATGTGGGACTTGCGGTCTTTTTTCAGTGGTGACATTTAATACGATGTGAGATGGAAGAACGAAAAAAGCCAGTTGTCATATTTTTGGTAGTTCCAATAACTATACTAACAACACCCTAACTATATATTACATATCTGGCATTACCCGGGGGACTGGATACATCGCTATACTTTCAATCTTTATCCGCATGAGCCTCATGGACCTCTGTCGCCTCTCCTTCATATGGATCAACAACGGTGGTCGCGAATTTCCTCGCCGGAACTCCGCGCTCGAAGAGCAAATCCAACTCCTCATATGTGCGTCCTTTTGGCTCGGGGAGCCGGAAGAATGCCCAGACCAGGGAGGCTAGACACGTACCAGCCCAGAAATAGGCACACCGAGCACCCCAGTTCCAGGCTGTGGAGTTAAGCTGATAGTTGGTCAGGACATTGACGACAATGTTACTGATATTGTATAGACACCGGGCGAGGACGATCGTCTTTGCTTTGAGACGAGTGGAAGATAGTTCTGAGACTAGAGAGTATGTGACAGGGCCGACGCTGATGTCATAACAGAATGTGAAAATGATTAGCATCACGCCGATTGCCCATTTAGCTGCGTTGTTGTCTCCCGGTGCAAAAGAAAGAGATCCCGTGATGACCAGAAGGACGAAAAGACTGGCGAGACCGGAGATGTGGATAGTTCGTCGGCCCGCGTAGGACATTAGGAACCACGATCCAATTGTGCCTAAAACGCCGAGGCCGTATTGTCCCAGGGATAGATTGAAAGATTGAACGGTAGGCAGTCCTGCTTGGACACAGAAATAGGCGAAATAACCCATCAAATTCTGGCCACATAGGGTCTGCACTAACCAGACAAGACAAACTACCTCAGTCCGTCGAAGATTTGTTCCCTTGAAGCAATCCCAATATGTGGTCCCACTGGAAAGTGATTTCTCCAACTCATTGGTGTGTTGAATCATAGCAATCGTCTCTTCGGGGTCAAAGTTGGGGTCATTGGACGATGTCAACCGCTGCAACGCTCGTCGGGCTCCTTGCACATTACCCCGACGCACATGCCACCAAGGGGATTCAGGTGCGAAAAGACAGCCGATAATGATTGGGATTGGCCACACCCATTGCACACCGAAAGGAATGCGCCAGGCCCATTGATCATCGCGAGAAATAGAACCGCGGTTGACGCCAATAGCCACGAACTGCCCAAATACCCAACACATATTGATGAAAGTGGTCAGATAAGGTCGCAGGACTACCGGACAAACCTCGGAGGCGTATGCGGCTGGCAAAGTCTGGAAGATACCCCAAGGGATACCCGCGAGAATCTCGGCGGCCAGCAACATCTGAATATTGACTGCGAAGAAAAACAGAAAAATGACTGCTGTGATGGTGGTCAAGGCACAGACCATGGTCTTTCGATATCCCAGGCGCTCAGAGACCAGACCATTGATCAGAAGCCCAATGACTTCACCACAGCGTGCCCCATTAGAAAGGCCGGATTGCCAAGATGCCGGAACAGCCCATTTCCCCGAGGCAGTCTGTTCTCCGAACTTCTGGTTGAACGCGGGTGATGCGTACATTGAGCTCAACAATGCGAGATCGTACCCTTCCATGATCAGAGTGGACGAAAGGAGGACTGACCAGCCAACGGCTTTTGGGTATAGCCGCAGAGCCTGCCAGAGAGTCATGGACTGCTCCTTCCTGGATGCTAGTCTGCCTTCTGCAAGGACAGGGGAGACTTTGCCGTCCATGCTCGCGGATTCGTCGTCCATGGACACCATTGGAACTTGTGTTGCGATTTCGAAGATTCGAACAATAGTTTCTTGTCAAGGCCTAATCAGAATCGAAAGCTGATACTATCCCGATACTTCAGACATTATCAGGACTGACAAACCATGGGGCGATGCGTCATTTATACAAAAGATCTCAAGTCCAAGATACACGCATGACTTAGTCCACGTCCATCGCGTATCCGGGGAAAATGCATATGGGCTGTCACTCGCTTCCAAAAATTCGAAAAACTGGGGAAGCCGGAGTGTGGAGGTCTAGATGTGACGAATCAGCGTGCCAGGACGGAGCCTGTCGGCGGCAAGTCGGTTGTTAGTCGGAGGCGCAGCATCCATCCGGAGGCTTGGCGGTATGCAGGGTCTACCCCCACGTTTGCCCAGGCCGAATTGATGCCGAGTTATGATGAAAAGGTATAAGAGGGGTGTCCTGGTGGAAAATAAAGGTGTCAAGCCACAATGTCACCACATGCGACACAGGATACGGTTGTTCCTACGGGGACAAATAACTGGTGGAAAGAAGCCACTGTCTATCAGGTTAGTTGCGAGAACATGAAGGTATTCCTCAAGACATAGTATTGACTTTTGTGTCCTCGATTCGAAGGTATACCCGGCTTCCTTCTATGACACCAACGGGGATGGCTGGGGGGATATCCCAGGTGTTGTCAAAAAGGTCGATTACCTTCAGTCGCTAGGGGTTGATGTCGTTTGGCTATCGCCGATGTACGACTCACCCATGCACGATATGGGCTATGATATCTCCGACTATGAGAATGTTCTCCCTGCTTATGGAACCGTACAAGATGTGGAGAATCTTGTGGAAGCGTGTCACTCGCGAGGCATGAAATTGATTCTAGATCTTGTCGTCAACCATACCAGTGATCAGCATGCTTGGTTCCAGGAAAGTCGGAGCAGCAAGGACAATGATAAACGCGATTGGTACTTTTGGCGCCCTCCTCGATATGATGAGGCAGGAAATCGGATGCCTCCGAGCAATTATCGCGGTTATTTTGCGGGAAGTACATGTGAGTTGAAATATTTGGCAATAATCAGTATACTTGAACTAACGATGCTTTCATGTAGGGACCTGGGACGAGAAAACGCAAGAATACTATCTGCATCTATACGCCAAAGAACAACCTGATCTCAACTGGAATAACAAAGCCACGCGTGAGGCTATCTACAACAGCGCAGTCCGATTCTGGCTAGACAAAGGTGTCGACGGTTTCCGAGTGGACACAGTGAACAAGTACAGCAAGCATACAAACTTTCCAGATGCCCCCATCACAGACCCGAAAAGTTACATCCAACCCGCCATCGGAATGTGGTGCAACGGCCCCCGGATTCACGAGTTCCTGCGCGAAATGTATGAAGAGTCATTTGCTCCGTACGGGGATGTCATGACTGTGGGCGAACTAGCCAATACACCTGATCCCAAGAACGTCATCGAATATGTGGGAGCATCGGCTAAAGAACTTAGTATGGTCTTCCACTTGGACATCGGCCATATTGGCATGGGACCCACCCTAGAGGAGAAGTACATCTTTACGCCGTGGAAGTTGACAAAGATGAAATCCATTGTGCAGAAGTGGCAGTCTTTTATTGAGGGAACGGATGGCTGGACCACCGCTTTCTGTGAAAATCATGACAACGGGCGTTCTGTCTCTCGATTTGGATCGGATTCACCCGAGTTCCGGGAGATCTCTGCCAAAATGCTGGCTCTGATGATGATTACTATGACTGGCACTCTGTTCATATATCAGGGACAGGAGATTGGCATGATCAATGCACCACGCGAGTGGCCCATTGAGGAATACAAGGACATTGAAGGATTGGGGTATTACCGGGAAGCAGAGCAGCGCAGTGAGAGTGGAGCCGATCCTACTCGCAAGGAGCAGATCATGGATGGTCTTCGAATCCTGGCTCGCGATCATTCCAGGCTGCCGATGCAGTGGGATGGCTCGGAACATGCTGGTTTCACTACCGGGAAACCGTGGATGCGAGCTCATGATCTCTATGGTGAGATCAATGTGAAGAGACAGGAGAGTGATGCATCTAGTGTGTTGTCTTTCTGGAAAAACGTTCTACGTCTGAGGAAAGAGCACCGGGAGTTATTCATCCACGGTGCATTTGAAGTACTTGACTACGAGAATCAAGAGACGTTTTGTTTTGTCAAGTCGAGACAAGATAAACGGGCATTGGTCATTCTGAACTTTACTAATAGATCTCAGCCATTCACACAGGCTGCGAGTACTGCGGGTATGAAGTTGCTAGTGGGCAACTACTCCGATTCATTGCTGGAAACCCTGAAGCCCTTCGAAGGACGTGTTTATATCTGAGATATATCCCGTAGAATACCAACCAGCAATATGTTTCTATAAATGTTTGTTGAAATCTTGCTTTCCTAGGATAATATTCTGCGTAGCATACGCCTGGTTATAATATTCCCCGATGTCGCTAATTTCTCAGCATTCCACGGCTTGTAGCTCAGCAGGAAACCCCTGAGGGGATTTCCCTAGGCCTTTAGAATTGGCTTCTTCTTTTCTGAACACAAAATGACAATGTGAATAGAAACATAGTCTCCACTAGTACTACGAATTAAGTCACAATGGATACAGGGAAGAGAATGAATTAGGAGTCTACCGGATGTTGGGGCCTGACAAACAAGGCCACAATTCCCATTTATTCCCGACTTCCCCCCGACTTCCCCCCGCAACCCCGGATCTTTGCGTTCTGCTAGTTCCTCTCGGTATATTTGTACCTGAATTCCCAGATGCCAGACCCACCGGCCAAGCAAGCATGTGATGCATGTCGCCGACGTAAAGTCAAATGTATTTTCCCAAAACCTTGTGAGCAGTGTCGAGCTGCTGGCCTGGTCTGCCGAACCTCCTCGCAACGACAGAAGAAGGGGAGACAGGGCCAAACAGCCAATATTCTCAATGAACTCAGAGCAAACCAAATTGAACAGGCGCTGGCACAGGATGCGAATATTTCTCCGCCATCAATGGCTCTAGGGCTCGGGGATACTATACCAACTCCCCAGTCACTACAAACCTCGGGAAGATGTCAGTTCGCGAAAACCCCGGGCCTTGTGAGCGGGGAGCTTGTCAACGCCTGCTCGGGGTATTTTTTCTCGCGAATGAGAGGAACAGTGCCCGTTTTACAACCCGGCAGCTTTCAGAAACGGGTGGACCTTGCCGATACATGCCTCCATGCTTATTGTCTAGTCACTGCTTTCTGCGCTTTTGTGGTCACTCAAACCGGATTTGCCGTGGAGCATTCATCTTTGGAATTCTCTCGGGTTTTTTGTACCGAAGACTACCGAAATTCCCTGATTGAGGAAGCCACTGAAGCTCGAAAGCATATCGATCCATTCACGGATCCTATACGGCAAAGCATTATCATCGCTTTCCTTCTGTATGGATGTCATATTGGACTTGGAAACCAACGGCATGCATATTATTTTCTCCGCGAATCGACGACACTTTATACAGCTAGCGCACTGGAAAGTCAAGCATCATCGGCGCAGGTGGATGACGATGACCCTTCCTTGGCAGGCAAATTGTTTTGGCTCCTAGTCGTGTCCGAGAGGTATTTTCTTCGCCTATTCATTAGTAATTCGCTAACACGGTGACAGAGCTCACGCTATTCGCCGACATAGACCTATTACGCTACAGGTCACTCCCGAAAGCCCTCGATTAGAAGACGACCCACTTCCAACTCAATTGGAAGACAATGTACTAGAAAATGCATCAGCCATTGGCTTTCGGTGTCTGGTAAACCTCTACCGCCCATTTGACGAAAGTTTTCTGAGCCAGTGGAATGGAACGAATGCCACATGCTCGATTGAGTCGCTGGTTCGCCTTGAGGAGCTTATCCAAAGTGCAGTCCCGGCAGACCTTGATCTGCCTGATATACTCATGGCAGACTTGCGTGTGTCTCAGCAGTGGCTGCGTATCATGATATGGCAACTATCTACAACTGCTGGGTTTCTTTCGACAAAGCCTAGTCATGAATGCATGGATTTTCGCTACCCCCTCCTAATTGCTGAAGATCTCTGCTTTGCGACATGGAAATTATCCAGGCAGAGTATGGAAACTCACGGAATTGGTCTTGTATGGCTTACCTTTAAACATACCAAGCATTTTCTAACATACTGTAGATTGAAAAAATATTTGAGGTGGCGTGCACCTTGATTGATGTCATGGCATGCCTCTCAACGGCTAGACTACGTTCTTCGGGCTTCAAGCTTGGCCCGCAGGATTATCTCAAGCATTTCTTTACTCTCATACACGACCTTCCCGGGGGCCGTCGAAGGCTTCTTCCCCTGTTACTTACCAAAATAGGGCAAACTCTGCCATCCATGGTAGACCCTATCACCGTTCATCTCAAACTCCAACCCAGCCCCTTGGTTTCAAGCTCTACCAATGAGGAATCATCAATATCCGCCATTGCGAGAAGTGGCAACTCAATTGAACAGCCCTCCACTGAATTGGTTTCAGAGTCTGCGAATTGGATGAATGGTAACTTCAACTATGCGGAGATGAGCCGCATCGGTGAGAAAACACCAGAAATTGATGAGGCCTTTCTCCAATACTCCAGTTACTTTCCCTGAGACCGGATAATTGGCTGCGCCTCTCAATTTATGCTTGGTCAATAAAGCTACATATGGAGGAAAGTATTGAGACGACAGGACTTTTCTACCATTCGAGTTTTCTACAGGAGCTGGACCTCATAAATACAGCAGATTTATTTGATTGTTCCTGACAGGCCTCAAAGTGCTCTCCTACGTGACAATTATCTCTCTGGTCAAAATAGTAGTCCAGTGGGATCAAGCATGAAGTGCCAGGTGTTCTCCTCAAACCAACTCCAAAAGTGGCATGAATGGACAGTCAGAATCACCTTTTTCCACATCTGCTTCGATGGCTTCATCCCCTTTGATGCCTCATTTTTCAAATTGGCATCTGCATTTGCAATCTACTTGCTTATATGCTATATCGTCGTTAGGTGCAACTATGATACATAGCTCACCTGACAAACAAGGCAAAGACAAGGCTAGTGCCCTGAGATCCAGTGCTCAGGCATGTTTTGAAAGTGCGTCAGTGGACAGCCTACGGTTTACAACATCGCCTGTCTCAATCAGCGATTCAAACAATCCATGATCTACCGATCTAACACATTTTTTGGGCCTACTTGGTATCAATATAGCAGAAATCGATTTCTGAATCTAACTTGGTGCATATTTTTCTTTTCGCTGTGCCACTTCGATCACTTTATATCTGGAACTATGAGGCTTTGCATTGCTACCTTCAGTTTGATTCAATCTGACACAATGGAATATGTCAAATTACTTCAAATTGTTCTCTAACTAGTTACTGTATTCTTAACACTTTCTATACCTATACGTGCTCTATCCCTATAGAGCAATTTAAATTAACAAGAATATTAGTTTTGTAGTACTCTTTTTGGACGTCTTTTTGGATGTTTTTTTAAATGCTTTTATCAATTATACGAAGAATTTAGGTGAGAAATGTAGATTAATAGGGTGAAATAGGTAGTGAGATACCATATAAACCTACGATATATCGCTGATCTCTATATGTATAGCAAGATACTTAGATAGTGCCATAGTGCAGTCGTAAGTCATATACTCCTTCTCGTACATATAGGGTTTCATTGGGTTCATTTAGATATATCACATTTGATTATTCAAGCGATGCATCAGGCTATTGATGACACTGATCAAAGCAGTTTTAAAATTGAATCCCAACCGTACAATTTGTTTGTCACGGCTATAGATCGGTCAATCTGCCATGTCACAAAATGCACGACAGGTCTCTTCCCGGAGCCGGAATAAACTTCTCTCTGGTCCTGAGAGATTCAGGCCGACATCCATTGCGACAACTTGATACCCTCTACATTTCTATCCCTACAAGCATTCGCTTTAGGGCTCCTTAAACCTATTATCATTACTCAAGCTCTTGAAATTTGAGTAAAGCCATCCTCATCTGGCCCCAGCTGCCACAAACACCCAAGGTGTACGGGGCAACGCCCAGACTAGACCAGACCTTTTTAACAATGGCGGAGCCACCTGCAAAACGTGCTCGCCGAGTCGACAGCTCAACTATGTGGGATTCGAATGATAAACGGCCTCATGCACCAGAGCAAGAGTCAGATCGCGACCGCAAACGCTCACCAGCTCCACGAGATGACCGACGCGACGGCCGGTATCGCTCTCGCTCACAAGAACGCAAGGATGGAAGGCGAGATAGAAGCTGGTCTCGAGATCGCCGCGACCGGGACAGAGATGGGCGTGGGGCCCAGAACCGAAAGAGGAGCACTAGCCGGGAGCGCAACCAGGATAGACGCGGTTGGTGAAAGATTTGAATTATTGAAGTACTCGTGCCATGCTAACATATAAATATCAGGCAATGCACCCAAGAACGTCAAGTTCCGCGAACGTTCGCGCTCCCGCTCGCCGCATCGCAATGGCACAAAGGCCCGGTCACCCCCTCGAGGCCCTAAGAGTGACCGCCATGGCGACCGCAAAGACCCTCGATCGCGAGATGTTGGGCAGAAGGCGAATGGCGCACAACCAGGACCAGATCGCCACGAGGATGCGATGGACGTGGACTTCAATGAAGATGCGGGCGAAGACGAAATGGAAGCACAAATGCGAAAGACCATGGGTTTCAGCCGGTTCCGGACTACAAAGAACACCAAAATCCCCGGTAACGACATCTATGGTGTGCGGAAGGAGAAGAAGATCGAGTACCGACAGTACATGAACCGCCAGGGTGGTTTCAACCGGCCTCTCAGTCCCTCGCGATGAACCTTTAAATCCTTCCTATTCCTACGGTCTCACACTTCTTTGTATTCACTGGACATTTTCTGCCTTCTTTCGACACGATATGCATTTGCGGAGTACTTTTTATGCTGGCTTGATATTTTTCCTTCCCATTCTATGGCCCAAACCTTTGTGGATTTACTACCAATTTCATTACTTCAAATATTAGTGAACCAAAAAAATTCAATGATTCATAGCCAAATCTGTAGATAAAAACCGGTCACGACTTGATTGCGGATGCGACATATGACTGGACAGACTAGATCCCCAGTGACGTAGGCATTCTCTATATATGAGCACACCTGCTGTTCAAACTTGTCAACTACAACTAACCCCCTACACAGTGGCTTCTTTGCGATCATTAGCACCCAAGGTAACGCCAAAATTTAAGATGTCAGCAACAGGAGATCGGCGTGAGATTGTTATTGTTGGTAAGAACATATTGTTTGCGCGACTTTCCTACCCCGCATGTTTATTCGCAACTTGCTAACCACAATCCTCACAGGTGGTGGCATCATTGGATGCTGCTCTGCATATTACCTCACAAGACACCCGTCATACGACCCTACCCGTCACAAGATTACACTCATTGAGGCCTGTGAAATCGCCGGCGCTGCATCAGGCAAAGCGGGTGGCATGCTGGCGCAATGGGCTTTCCCAAGCAACATCGTTGGTCTCAGCTACAAACTGCATGCCGAACTTGCAAAAGAGCACGATGGTATCAATCGATGGGGATACAGAGAGGTCAATTGTGGCCAACTCGTCGTGAGAGGTCGTGCTCTTGCCGAGCACACTGCAGGGAAATCCGGGGGTGGAGATAGGGAATCTCTGCTGAAACGCAGTGCAGCGGCTATGTCGAAGCTGAAGTCTGCCAAAATCCCCCAGGACTTGGATTGGATTGAGCCGGATCTTCTGCGGTCCTATGAAAATATGAGTGGACCGGGCGAAACTGCTCAAGTGCACCCATACTTCTTCACTACCTCTATTGCAAAGCTCGCCCAGGACGAGGGCGCAAGTATCATTCTTGGACAGGTTACAGATATTGATCGGTCCAAGGGTTCTGTGCAGTCAGTGACATACACTGATAAGACATCAGGTGAAACAAAAACCATCACCGCAACCGATGTGCTCGTTGCTGCTGGTCCCTGGACGAAGACTATCCTCCCAGAGGTCCCCATCTCAGGCATGCGGGCCCACAGCGTGGTGATCCAGCCAAAGAAACCAGTCAGCGCATACTGCCTGTTTACAAACATCGAAATCCCGGCCGACTTCAACCCCGAAAAGAAGTCACGCCCAACTGTGGCTGCGCCAGAGATCTACGCGCGCCCTGATGACACCGTCTATGCATGTGGCGACGGAGATAGAACGGTCTCATTACCAAAGACTTCTGCAGATGTCCAGGTTGACCAGACGCGCTGCCAGGAAATCATAGATCATGTGGGTAGCATTTCTGACGAGCTGCGCGACGGAGAGGTTCGCGCTCGCCAGGCTTGCTATCTTCCTAACTGTGAAACTGGCGGTGGGCCACTAATTGGCTTGACCGATGTAAAGGGACTGTATGTTGCAGCTGGCCATACCTGCTGGGGTATCCAGAATGCGCCGGGTACAGGGAAGCTCATGAGTGAGTTTGTATTTGATGGCAAGGCGAAGAGCGCAAACATTGGATCGTTGGATCCACGAAACTTCATCTGAATAGATACTTGTCACACAATGTCTATCGCAAAAATATAGTACACCCTTTCTATGATATGAGCACGACATTTATAGTTTGTAGACAACGTGAGCACTAGAGCCGACGAGGAAAGGCGGGTATGGGTGACGCGGTACGCATATGAGACTAGTCTGTATTTAGTAGGCGGTAAGTGGAGATACATACACCTATAGCTTAACGCCGCGCGGAGGACAGCAGTCAATTGAATGAGGCTACATAATGCGTAACCTCGGGATTTCAGTGTTATTGACGTCGCTTCTCTATGCGACTGGGATTGTTGCAAATGAAGATCCCAATGATGTGTCCGTCCTAATTCGAGAGGCCGGACGTGCCAGCAACGAGTCCTTGCTTTGGGGCCCCTACAAGTCGAATCTCTACTTTGGGGTGCGTCCTCGCATTCCGAAGAGTCTTTCGGCGGGGTTGATCTGGGGAAAGGTTGACGATTATGCTGGTGCTCAACAAAGTATGTGATCCTTGGCAGCCCGGTTGCATTGGTGAATTAAAGCTAACATCTACCGAAGACTTTAGACACACATGCGAACAAAATGAAGGAATGGCTGGGTATGGCTGGGATGAGTACGATATCCGAAAAGGTGGACGGGAAACCATTCATGACGCTGGGAACAATTTGGACTTGGTCATCGATTTCATCAAAGTACCCGGTGGCCAGCACGGAGGTAGCTGGGGATTCCGAGTCAAGGGCACGCCTAGGGAGGGCGCAGACCCCGACCAGCCCATCTCCGTTATCTTTTATTCCACTCTCGAGGGATTCGGTCGCTTGGAGGCCGATTCTGCATCCTCTGAATCCACTGGAGTGGAAGGCAATGTCAAGCTCGAAGGATACTCCGCAGAACTTGGTGATTTCGCTATCGATGTCACCACTGGACCGGAAACCAACTCGCACCCTCGCTACAATCATCCTAGCTCCACAGACAAGCCATTGGATCGCAGCATTGTAGCTAGTGTGGCTTTCCCTGAGGAGCAACTTTGGCAAGCGAAGGGAATCTTCTTCACTCAATTGAAGGCAGAGGTTGACGAAGCCCTTGAAGAGTATGGAAAAGAGAACATTCCGCCCCCGGCCCAGCTGTTTACTATCAAGCACAAACCTGGCCCGGGAAACGCTCAGCTTGTCCAGAAGGTTTTCAGCGGTCCATTCGAGTTCGATGTCCTATTCTCCTCCGGATCCGCTTCCGAACCTTTGACTTCAGAAACCCTTACTAAAGAAATTGATGAAGCTTCGGCTTCATTTTCTGAAACCTTTGAGGAGCTTCTTCCGCCGCAGGCGCCATTTGACTCACCGAAATACTCGAGCTTCTCCAAGGCAATGTTATCTAACCTGATCGGTGGCATTGGGTTCTTCCACGGCGATGATGTCGTAGATCGGTCCGCAAACCCTGCGTACGAAGAGGAGAATGAAGGCTTCTGGGAAGAGACCGCCGAGGCCAGGGCTGCCGCGCAGCCTGTTATCGAAGGCCCTAAGGAGCTTTTCACTTGCGTTCCCTCCCGGCCTTTCTTCCCTAGAGGATTCCTTTGGGACGAAGGTTTCCATTTGATGCCCGTGATCGAATACGATACCGATCTTGCGTACGTTTACACCCACTTTCGTTTGACTCACTAGTTTTGCCTGATACTGACTTTTACAGGCTTGAGATTATCAAGAGCTGGTTCCACTTAATGGACGAGGATGGGTGGATTGCCCGCGAACAGATTCTCGGCCAAGAGGCACGCAGCAAGGTACCTGCGGAGTTTACGGTCCAATATCCTCATTACGCAAACCCGCCTACTCTATTTATGGCCTTGGAAGCATTTATGGACAAAGTCAAGACCAGTAAAAACAAGAGCACCGAGTTCGCATCCCTAGACAACCAAGATGCGACCGCCAGCCTGCGTTCCGCCACTGTCCGACACCCGGAACTGTCTGAAGCATACCTTCGCTCATTCTACCCGCTCCTGAAGAAGCACTACAACTGGTACAGAAATACTCAGCGCGGTGATATCAAATCGTATGACCGTGAAGCGTTCTCGACTAAGGAAGGTTACCGCTGGCGCGGACGTTCAGTGCAGCACATCCTCACTTCTGGCATCGATGACTACCCCAGAGCCCAGCCACCGCACCCCGGTGAGCTGCATGTCGATTTGATCAGTTGGATGGGAATGATGACTCGCGCTATGCGTCGCATTGCTGAGAACCTTGGTGAGGAGGAAGACGCTGAGAAGTTCGCCTCCTACGAGAACGCTATCACTCGTAACATCGATGACTTGCACTGGGATGAGAAGGAGCAAACCTTCTGCGATGCGACCATTGATGAATATGAAGAGAGTGTGCACGTCTGCCACAAGGGTTACATCTCCATCTTCCCCTTCCTGACTGGTATGTTGGGTCCTGACAGCCCGCGTCTCAAGGCTGTGTTGGACTTGATCGGTGATCCCGAGGAGCTGTGGAGTGATTACGGTATCCGCAGCTTAAGCAAGAAGGATAAGTTCTACGAAACCGACGAAAACTATTGGAGAAGTCCTGTCTGGATTAACATCAACTACTTGGTGTTGAAGAATCTCTATGTAAGTGCTTCGATCTTTTGATTTATTTGCCCGCCGAATCTGACAGAACCTTCACAGGACACTGCGACGGTTTCTGGTCCTCACCAGGAACAGGCGAGAGAGATGTACTCTGACTTGCGGAAGAATTTGGTCGAAAATGTCTTCCGCGAGTGGAAGAGGACTGGATTCGCTTGGGAACAGTACAACCCTGACTCGGGCAATGGCCAGCGAACACAGCACTTTACCGGCTGGACTAGTATGGTGGTGAACATGATGTCCATGCCTGATTTGGCCGGATTCGGAAAGACTACTCATGACGAGTTGTAAGCTATTGAACTCGATGTGAAAATGTTCGTCACGTAGATTAGATAGTGGTCATTCTGATAGTGGTACGCAATGGTTTATCCGGCATTTGAATCGATCCCTCCAACGCCAAGCTAATGCATCAATTCATATCCCTGGTCTGTAGCTCAATGGCGGCGATCATAGTCGTCTCGGTCTCGTCTGCGTTCGGGGTGTCGCCGACGCTCAGCCGGCGAGTAGCTGCGCTCCATCCGTCGTCGTTTCTGATGTTCTTCGTCTTTGCGGCTGGGTCGACTCCTAGAACGGGAGACTGAGCGCCGTCTGTGGTGATCTCGGCCGCGAGATCGTGAGCGGGATCTGTAGCGATGGCTGCGGTGAGGGCGCTCTCGGTCGTCGTGATGACGGCGGTGTCTCCGGTCCTTCTCACGTGCAACATCGTCGGCCCGGTCATGTCGCCTTTCACGTCGCGGGCTTCGGGATCGCTCACGTCTGTGTCGGTGACTCGAGCGATGGTCCTTTTCCGTTGTTCCGACATCTGGCATCGCTTCTTCTCTTGGTACTACATCGGTACTACTAGCGCCCCCTAAGGGGACCATGTTGGCGTTTTCGGATGCTTTGGGGGGCACCGGGAGGCCCAGAGCGATCGCCATTGCTTCTTCTTCCGCTTCCTTGACACGTTGAAGTTCCTCTCGCTCTTTGCGGATTCGTTCTTCCTCTTCTTCATCACCCTTGGCGTACCAGCCAAGATCACGGTTTTGTTGCCATCTGCCGACTGGTGCCATCACCGAGTGGCCTAAGTAGTTCTCGCGGTGGACGGAACTTTGGACGTCGGACCATTTGAACTCATTGCGGCCGCCGCTGAGACAAAAAATTAGCAACCTTCAACCCATACAAAAGGATGATACCAGCGAATGAACTTACCGGCTGCCTTCTTTGCGTACACCAGCAACCAAATCCATCATGCGATAGAATGTGTTATACGGAGGAGAAAGCCTAAGCCCTCGAAGCTCTAGGTATGTACGCACTCAATGGTGGTCCGTGCGTGGGCGGTCAGCCATTCCATCATCGAATGATTGCACCTCCCCGCAGCCATGGAGGTGTTTGCGACCAGCTTAATCATGATCTGTTTACAAAGTTCCCAGCCTTCTGTCTCTTGTGGCTTGTTCTCTCCACAATTGGCAATGACAGAGCAAGCTGCATATCTTACTATTCACGACTCTTGCTGCTCAGATCCAAAGAAGTATTCTTCTCTGCAAGCATCCTTCGCCTACAGCAATGTCTTTTCCTCCCACCAGCTCTACGCGTGCTAAAACGGAAAGGGAATTCGTACGATATCGGCCCCAGGTACAAGCATTGAATATCGAAGCAGAAGAGGAACGCGTATGTTTGTCTTCAAATTACCCCACGTGAGAACTATGAACTGACTTGTGCTAGTTTCCTGAGTAGGTATTTACGTTTGTACTACCTGAATCACCGTGACTGATTATCATTGAGCTATAGTGATGTGCCTAGGCCAACTGTCTCTGCTTGGAGGTGTAATCTGGTGAGTACCTACTAATCTAGTTGCTGTTTCGTATAATCCCCCCCCAGTTCTGACCTTGATTTTGCAAGGCGGCCTTCTCGCAGCGTCGAAATCTGCTTTTTACAGCTCAAGTTGAAGACATTTACGTATGGATTCCCAGTGGACCTCGCCAGCTCCTTGGCTCCCAACCTGAGATGATCATTCACCCGGTGATGAAGGAACCCGATTCGGCTGGATACATCGATCGCTCTAGGCCTCATACAATCAATCATATCATTGTTGATGATTTGGGGGTTGATGAGGTTTTGCTTTTAGCGACAGATTCTGGAAACGTCACCGGCTACAATGTTGAGGCTATTTTCTCGGCAATCAATAGGAGCGCCAAATATGGAGGCGGCCGACCATTTGATGCGCATGAAATAAAGCCTTTCTTCGCTGAACATGTTTATTTGAGTGCTTGGGGCTTAGCTACCCACAAGTTTTCTCGGTTGATCGCCGTCAGCGCGAACACGGGTGATATCACAGTCTTTGCTTTTGCCTTGATGGATGTGGTGTCTGAAAATGATGGTAGCAGTCCCAATTCCTCTGAGACCTCAAATTTGGGAGGCTCTGGAAACACATGGGTGTCAATACACAATGCAGAGTTGATGCAGGGTCTGAAAAGGTCCATGCCCCGTCATCGCACACGCAACCTGCGGCTCACCTATAGGGGTCATTTTGACAACATTCCATGCGTGTCGTTTGCCAACTTTGAATTGGACCCCAACGGTCTGTGGATGATAAGTACCGATATCCTCAACAACGTCTCCATATGGAGAGTCTGGGACAGCTTAAGTCCTGTCGATATCTCCAGTTACGATTGTTTAGAGAGTGGTCGAGAGCAAAAGGGGTGGTTCGTTTTGCCTTTACATCCTCGCAGGGTTCAACAGCACCTCCTCAAGTTTCATGCCTGTGGATGTGACCCAAAGCGAACCATGATGGATGATCAGGTGGTTTTCGACGTGACGGAGGCGGCTGATTATGTCGAAGCCAGATCCGTCCTCGCTTCTCAGAAAATCGCTGCTGAGGAACATGCAACGGTTTCGAGCATATTTCTAGAAGACGATATTTTCCCTTCTGGCTGTGTTCATACTGAATTCCGACCGCAACTATTGAGCTCAGAGCATAACAATACCACTCTACAAGCCTCCGAAATAGCTTCTCCTCCCGATACTGTTGACACTACTGATGTCAGCTCTGAAGTATCACAAGACCAGCAGGTGGCTTCGCGCCGTCACTCGATTCGCGTGAGACGTGGTATTAACAATTTGGTTGAAGAAGAAAATGAGCAATGGGGCCCGGATTTTGCTGCTGAAGTACCTGCTGCTGAAGTGGATGTTTTGACAGGCTCTGTACACCATCGTAAGTGAGCGACGTGCTTCGGTGTTAGATTAGAATGCTAACCTGTTACTCAGCGACCAACCCTCGGTTTTTCCCTATTCTCCATTTTTCTGGAAATACCATCACTCTGAATCCTTATCCATTAGACCATGTATTGCGGACGGTTTCTCGGTCTCCACTTGATTCGCTGGTAGAGCATTCTCCGTTCTACTCCTGTGATCGCTTAAACTTGGTCAAGTACCTCCCTGAACTTGGGATCGTTATTGCCGCCTCCCAGGCCGGTGGAGTTGCCATCATCACTCTTACATGGCAGGAAGAAATTGGCCACACTTTTCGCCTAGACTGGCTTCTCCCTTTCATCACCCAGGAGAGGGACGATGGATGTCCACCACTACCTCTTATGGGTATTGCTGCAAGTCCCATGCCTGGATTTGAGATACCACCGGATGTCCCTTGTATTCCCCAGGATGTCAACCCCAAGGATCAGTTGAAATTCAACCACCGTCTACTCAACCCAGATGAAGATGAACCTTATGTCGCAAACCCGCCCGAATCCTGGGCTTTCAGTCCCTCTGGCCCGGATATTATCCCTAGCTCCGAAGACCCGAACCTTACAATTCCTGAAACCCACGCCTATGCCTCGGAAATCTACCAACCTCATGAGACCTGGCATGGTTACCATCCTTCTCGACATTACAGGTTGCTTTTGCTATTCTCTGATCTCACAGTCATGAGCTATGAGTTTTGGCACGACTGGAGAGGTTGATCTGATGATCAAATTAGGTTACGCTTCGTGAAACCTGATTACAAGAGGCATGTTCTACCCGTCGGAGTATCTAATTCAGTATTCCACCTCAAATTCAATACTGGTAGTCGATAAATAGTATGAAAAAATATGTAATCAATTCGTACAGCGGTCACTTGAGGCTCTAACCGAAATAAGCCTAATTGGTTCCGCTCAAAATAAGCTTAAATCTTATGTTCAGTCACCTAAAACAAAGTTTTCTTTTCCAAGACCACGGGTCCCACTTCGATATCAACTTTGGAACCTTGGAAGATAATATCCCCATATACTATGTAGCCAAAGCGCAGCCGTCGATCCCAACCCAATGCATTCCCCGGTGCTTTGCTAGAAAATCAATCCACCCTGACAACTTCGTGATCTTGCAGGTCCTGACTCACGACTTCGAGAATCGCTATTCAAACTTCCATCCAATCAGAAAGGTCTACTTGTACCTACATATACACGTAGTATAATGAACGAATACGGGCGACTAAGTATGCCACAGGTTCATAACTCTCCTATTGGAATTTATTGCCAGGCAGAATTTTAGTCATTCACCCTACCCTCACTGGAAGCTTGGGACTTGGAAGGCCCCTTGGAATGTATGTTTTTCTAGATAAATTTGCTTCAATTTGCCTATCAAAGTCCATAAATTAATTAATTACAGATGACTCTAAACGGCGAGATCCCAATGTATACGCAGGGGCATAGGGGCCAGGGTTACTTTCGGATTTAGTTAACGTATTTCACCACCGAGCTGCGCAGCCCAATTCACCATAGTAAAAGCGATAAATTACAACATGATATTGCAACAACGGTGGTCAATGTAAACTTTATCTTGTAGCCCATTATTCTCTATATGATATCTGATCACTCTATATAATAGTGATTGTGATATAGATTTTTCCTATAGTTCAGTGTTGTAACCTTCAATACCGCAATGATGCAACTTTCCGATTTATTTGAAATTGAGATATATTGCTTAAAAAAATGCTTATTGATACCTATTGACAAGTAATGAAAGCAAGTTGAAAAGTGGTCGTTAAGATATAAATGTGGAATATGTTGCATTTACTATGGCGTTTTGGGCTGCGCAGCTCGGTGGTGTGCAGCTCGGTAGTGAAATACGTTACCTGAATTACAATTACGGAGACCCGCGCATCTGGCCCCATGAATATGAGGCTATTTCTGCCATGCAAATCCATACACCGCATGATTCTTGGGCTGTTTGAACCTGAACTCAGAGATAATAGCGATCTAATCAATTATGGATATCTCTTAAGAGAAAATAATACATATAGATTCCTGAATAAAGGTAGGGCCTGAAAGCGGTCAGGTTTAAGGCCAACATCAGGCGAAATACAGGCACTAAGGCCGCAATGCATTATTAAATCCGAAAGTAACCCTGGCTCCTATGCCCCTGCGTACAATGTAGTCAAGCGCTTCCAACCTTGGAAGGGTCTCAGCCCAGCTGACTCAGACAAGCAATCAACAAAAACCCCAAGCCCCTACCAGCGCAGCTCATTATACAACTGGAATTCAAGTTTCAATTTTACAAAAGCATCACAGACTATAGATGCACACCCAACACCCAGCCCAGACCAGGGCTCTCGCGATGCCCGAGATCGTGATCTCAATCCTCCACCAAATGGACATGCGCACCCTAATCGCCGCCCAACGTGTCTGTCACACCTGGGCAGATCCAATCCGCACATCACGCTCACTGCAAAAAGCCCTATTCTTCATCCCAGCCAGCGAAAACAGCGGGACAGATACACGAGTCTACAACCCATTGCTGGCACAAGCATTCAAATCAGCATTTCCATCAAAAGACCTGCAAAATAGCAGCAATGTAGGCGCCAGAATAGAGGACATCAAACTCGCTGAATTCGATCTCGCGAAAAGCCCGGCTAAGATGGAGATATATCTCCGGCCTGAAGCGAGCTGGCGCCGTATGCTGACGCAACAACCGCCAGTCTTCACGGTCGGACGGTTTCGCAAGGGGATTGGGCAAATGGGTCTTTCTTGGTACCAACAAAAGGCAGCGCGGCAAGATGAGGGTCTTCGTATGGGCACGTTGTTTGAATTGCTTGTTCAATTGAAGTGTTATGAGTGGCATTCCGGGTTTATTGCGATTTGTCTGGGTGGAGCTGAGCCTCTTAACACGCCGCTTAATATTGAGGGACCGGCCCAACGTCTCTTCACGAATGAGATTAATAATGATTGGAGGGTTATGACTGCGAACTTTGATCTCGTGCTTATGACGAGCTCTATGAGCACATGTATGGATCCTGACTCGGATGGTTCCGATTACACGAAGAGTATAGGTGAGGCTGTATGGGAGAAGATTTGTGAAACCTATTGCAAGTTGGGATTGACTGTCACGGAGTTGAAGATGGAGGATTATAATGAAGGATCCGCGTTGTGGTATGCATGGGTTTATTAACATAGGAATTGTATACCCATGCGCGCTACAGAAAGACGGAGTCAAGCGATCGACAACCATAGAATTATGGAGATATCATATAAACGCAGAATATCAAATAGACGAAGCGCAAGCAACGCACGTTGTATGTATAGAGGAGTATGTATGGGCATTTCCTGCGCTTGGCCAGAGAAGAGCTAGTATATGAAAATGAAGCAGAGAATAAGAAAATCCAAAAAAAAAGCAAAGAGGGAAACGCAACGGGGTGTGCCAGAAGACGAAGGGGGAATTGATGAAAAACGCAATCAAAATGAAGGGGAAAATGTGAAGAAAAAAATGAAAAGGAACATCAAGTCGTTGTATGCATCAATGTCATTAAGACGCTTTTTGAACAGGGAAAGACCAAGATTCTTATGTGCCATTGAATGTTGAGTCATGCACATAGATCCTCGATCTAGAAGTCATCGTCCATCTCATCACTATCCCATTCGTCTTCACGGTCATTTTGTACTAGATCCAAAAATCGCTGAAGACCAGGATGTGCCTGCGCTCTACCTGGTCGGATTGCAATAGCCTCCCATCGTATGGGGCCGTCTTCGTCTGCCAATGGTTCTGCTGGAACCTCTGCCCACTGTACAGGACGTCTAGGATCACCTGCCTGTGGAGGGAGACGGTGGGGAGGAACTTCCGCCCAGCGAACAGGGCGTCTGGCTTGTCGTCTCGCATTTCGGTTTCGTACCTCGGCCATTGCGCGAGCTTGAGCCTGACGTTCAGCCGCAGCAGCGCGGGCAGCTGCGTGGTCACGTTGACCAGGTCTGCCGCCACCGCGGTTAATTTGGGGCGGAGCGGGTGCGGGAGGAGGAGGATGTCGGTGAAGGTCGTCTTCATCATCATCAAATTCAAATGCAGGGTGGTCGTCATCACTTTCGTCTGTTTCTTCCTGAATGTCTACCACAGGTGGGTCATCATCGAAGTCTAGGAGTGCGTCTGGGATGCGGTGAAGTGCTTCAGCCCCGTCGGGGTTGATGCCATCACCACCTTCCAAATCCCAAAGACGATTGTAACATTGGCCTTTCTCGTCGTTGAAATGTTTGTATGGGTTGTCTGCACTCAGCCAGGCCGAGCAAAGGTAGCAGAAGTGTGTGTCACACTGGAAGCAGCGCATGTGATTGCATCCCATTTGCTTTTGGCAGGGCACATTGCAAGTCGGACAAGGGGTAGTGTACAGACGCAAGTACTCTTCGGTCGCTTTTTCTTCCTCCGTGGGCTCGCCGTCGCGGCGTGGGAAACAGCGTACCAGTTCACCATGCCAGCCCTTCTTACAGACGCAGCAGAATGCGTAGTTGCAGTCTTCGCAGATAGACACACGCTCCGCCATAGGAGGAAGCTCTCCATCGTTCACTTCGCCGCGGGCCTCGGATCCATCTTCTTCGTCAGAACTATCCAAGTCATCCGACATAGGATCTTCTGGCTTGGGGTGCCGCTTGGAACGTGCAGCTCCCTGGCACCATTGTCGTGGACAATAGACTGTGGTTTTATCGGCTTCAATCTTCTTCTTCCTCTTGAGGAATGCATATCGCTGAACCATTTCAGTTTCCAAAGGAATCTGGAGTAGCTCGCTTGGTCCCAGAGTACGATCACGCTTCTTGCGGGGCGGGGTCTGGCCGTCGCCCGGTACAGCTACAGGTCTCTTGTTGTATTCGCAATCCGGCGCCATGCATTTCACACTGTCAACATCACCCTCGGTGATGCAGCAATTGTAGAAATCCTGCAAGCATTGAATGCAGAATACGTGGGAGCAGCGAAGTAATCGATGGCAAATGGTGCCCTTCTTCGGTTCAAGGCATACCCCACATTCGAAAGTCCCCTGCTCAAACTTTTCCCGCTCGGCATTTTTGTTGTAGTCTAGTAGTCCGATCTTCAAGTCCCGCGATAAATATATTTCTCCCGACGGATTCTGGATATTGAAAGCAGTTTCTGCCAGCTGCTGGAGATGGTCAATATAGGTAAAGACGACTAGATCCTTTCCGCATTCCTCCCAAAGTCGGTTGCAATCGTTGGATAATTGATCTATGACGGAGGGAGGTAGCCACGAGGGGATCGTTTTTAGATGGACGATAGGCGGCTTTTCGGTTGGATAACCCTCTGGCAATTCAATCTCGAGGTTAAGCGGAGGTAGGTGCGAGAGAAGATGGATGTCTTTAATAGGCGGCTGGTCTAATTCTCCCTTAGACTCGTCCAATGAGGTTGGAGGGGTGATGGCGGCAGCTGCAGGATCAAGCGGTTGCTGAAAACATATTGAGGTCGGGGAGGAAGGTGCGACTGGAAGATCGAGAACGGCTTTGAACGGAGAGGACGGATCGATTTGAATCTCTGGAAAGATGGCAGCTATCGAGGAAAGCTCGACTGAGCGCTCATCCTCTGGAAAGTCGAGTTCGGTCATGGCGGGATGAAACCGAGTATGATCACTTGTGAAGATTTCTCAGGTGGGGATGATTATATATTTGCCTCCGGTATAACGCTAGTGGATCGCAAGTTGGAGACAATGGTGTCTCCTGCAAAAACTCTCAGCAACGCTGGCTCATGACTGTCGTAAAAAAATCTGAAGGTAATGATGACCGATCTCAAGTGAACTGTCACTAAGGACGATCGGGCACAAAAGGGAGGTTTATATCCTGCAGGAAGATTCCCTTCAAATCAGCGTTGTGACTGAGATCCTGGTAAAAATTCAGACCAACCAAAGACGAAGAGGTGCCGAGTATTCCTTCTATGGGCCAATGTTCGGCTGAAAGTCGGGAGGGGTCTAAAAGATGATGCAATAGAGAGTCTGGGGTTTGGATAGAGAACAACGGCGTCATTGTTTGAAAGTGAAGTGACTAGAAGGGAGACGAGTGAAGAGATGAAGATATGAAGAAACCAAAAACCCCAAAAAGAATGGCAAATCCCCTCGGATGCCTGAAGATATGAAGGAAAAATAATTCGCCAAGTCGAAAAGCCCTGGAAGTCCCCGCTGCCCAATCTGCTTATCGCCGATAAGGGAAAAAGGCTTGGCATCGGGATATCCCTGAAATGGAAATCTCCCGAATTTAGGGGTCTCTGGAACTTTCGAACTTCCCTCCATTCACTCTTTTGATTCATTATGGGAGACACTCCGCTGGCGTCGTTGTCTCTGACTCATGTCCACTACGTTAGTTATGTCATCATATCTCTGTTGACTTGCCACTGACTATGTTTCTAGAACCCTGAGGACCGACTGTCCTTTGCCTCAGCATGGCTAGCCCTGATTCCTCAGGCACTATGCGTTTCCTATGCAACCTTGATCTGGTCAACAAGGGAGGTGGAAGTTATCCTGATGTTTGTAGGGCAGATGGGCTGTGAAGCCTTGAACTTTGTCCTCAAACGTTTCATCAAGGAAGAGCGACCGAAGGGTAAGTCGGCGATGTCGTCTGGGTACCTTCCAAAACTAACACGTGTAATTCGCAGAAATGTTCGGCAAGGGATATGGAATGCCATCTTCACACGCCCAATTCATGACCTTCTTCTCCGTCTACCTCACCTTCTTCCTTCTCTTCCGTCACAGCCAAGCTTCCGCCAGCTCATACCCCAATGTTGCCGTCCTATTACGAGTCCTGGTCATGCTAGGCCTTTGCATCGGAGCTGCAGGTGTCGCTGCCAGTCGCGTCTACCTCAACTACCACACCCCGAGACAAGTCCTTGCTGGCTGTGCCGCTGGATTTGTATGCGCCTGCGGCTGGTTCATGGTCACCAGCCTGCTCCGAAGCAGTGGGTTGATCGAATGGGCCATGGAAAGCACTGTGTCCCGGTTAGTCAGAATCCGTGATCTCGTCTTAAGTGAAGACTTGGCTGAGGCTGGCTGGCAACGGTGGGAGTCTCAGAGGTTGAAGCGTCTCGGCCTCAGTGGGAAGAAGTCGGAGTAAGGGATAGCCCCTTTTAGCGTATACTACCATAGTAGCGAGCGGACACCTGCCTGTTGATTTTAACTGCCTGATATCAATTATATTCTGACTCTTTCTATCTATTTCGTAAATCTCGTACACAATGGCTTTGTAGTCCGGTCACGTGTCAGCTGGCCTCCCGCATCAACACCGCAGCCACACCCCTCGTGCATTGCGAAGACTTTACAAAATGTGTAGTGGTCCATTTACATGAGTTTCGTCTAATTTTCGTTCCTTCTTTTCGCTCTTTTCACTGATGTATGGAGCGTTGGTACCCTGGTGATCGATCCACCGAACAACTTTCTGCCAGGAACACAACAACTCAACAAGTCCCCAATGATGGACGCGCCTTCAGATCCACCCGAATCCACTATGCAGGAGCATCATATTGTCAAGGCGGATGAGGTCGACCAAACTGGGACCGATATCTCGCCAGTTTCAGACGACCAACTCTTGGAGGAGGTCGCTGAGGGGCTCCGCCAGGAACAGGCCTCGCAAGCCGCACCCGCTCCTGAGACGGAGTTCTCTGCGCCCGAAAAATTTATGAAACGACCTGAACTTCGTCGTGAAGGCTCTGCTCCACCTCCTCCGATGCAGCCGCCCCCTCCAGCTCCCGTTCAGGAGACCACGGACCGGGGTGCGAGCTCTCTGAGCTTATCGGAGTTGCGGAAGCTTGTGGGTGAAATGCCCAAGATCGAGCAACCAGCCTATGCTTTTGAATATGCCGATGCACAATCTTTCCCCGATGAGCTCGACGAGTGGTTCCAGTATAACGCCTTTGATCGTGTCATGTTGATGGGCATGAAAGGGACTTTTAACAAGAAATGGCCTACCTTTTGCCAGCGACGCCAGCGAGACACGCCCGGGGTGCCTTGGCTTGAGGCCTCTAAAGACTTACGTCGTTCGTTTATTACTCGGATGCTCGAGGATCTGAAGCTTTCTGAAGTCTCCGCGCGATTGGAGGCCCTTGAAACCATTTGCTATGTGGTCACTGGTGTATGGGGTATTAGCGGTGGGAGAGTGGCACCCGACTATCCTTCTGATCTAAATCCCGAGTCAGCAGCCGAAACGCCACTGCTAAAGTCAATGCAGATTCAGTGCATCGAACAGAATGTTTCCCTTCTCGAGGAATGCTCGGGCGTTACTGCATTGGTACAGTACATGTGTCGCCTTTTTGATAAGACCCGCTCAGCACTCGGATCTGACACTAGTGACATTGATTACGAGCGAATTAACCCTGGCGATATTGCGGCCCCGGAGCGTGAGGCCAACTTGGTCCTCACAAGCTTATACTTCGCCGTAGAAGTAGGTCGCAGGCAACAGGCGCGCGACCCTCAGTGCAGCTCAATCCGCGATGCACTGACCAGCTCCAATCCCAATCTATTGGTCTCTATTGTTGAAATTATCGCTCGACTGCGCTGGGACGAATCTGCCAATATTCCGCTGACCAGGATCCTGCTGTTGTTGTGGAAGTCGCTGCTTCTCGTCTTTGGCGGTATCGAAGATTTAAAGCGCGCAAAGGAAGTACTAGAGCCTGATGTTTTCTCTGAGAAGGATGATGCCAAACGCAGGACACCATTCTTATACGCCTCCCCTCTGGACTATCATCTCTTCCGCCAGGAAATCACTTCCAAATACCCAGCTTACAACCCTCCGCCACTTGTCGTTCCGCTAGAACTAGAGAACAATTCTATTCTACCCCCTCTTCCACACAATGCAGCCAAGATGAACTCGTCCAGTGGTATCTTTTGTGGTGTTGCCCCCTCGATTTCCGGTGGAAATGGCTCTATCCTTCAACAGGCCGTTCATATTGCAACCCCGGCGCCGTCCCCACCGCCATCTCCCGCTGGACCAGGAGGGAAAGCTGGGAAGAAACAGAACTATCAGACCAACCAGAATTTCCCCTTCATGTACCCTCCTCTGGATGATTCTAGCAACAGCATTGGCGGGAAGGGCACAACGCAACGCCAGGATGCCTTGGTTGGAAAGAAATGGGAAGGCAGTGATGTTCCTGCGTCAATTATTGAAGCCGGAAAGCTTTTCTCGACCCATGTGAAAATGACTCGTGCGATGCGACAGCTTTGGCAGGAGCGTGAACACTTTATGCAGTACGACCGTGGCTGGAATTCCGAGGACGCTGCTCACTTCCCTGACAACATTTCGGATGATTTGCCAGATGACTTCGAACATCTAGATTTGTTAGGTGACGAGGAGAATTTGGGTGACGAGGAGAAGACCGAGCCTAAACCGAAGCCAGCAGAGAAGGAGACAGATGATCCTGATATCCAGCGGCGCCTGGATGCGGTTGACTCGTTTTATGTGAGTGTACGGTTTCGAGACCTAATCTCGACATTCGCTTACTGTTTACCAGACCCATACTCTATCTCACCTTCAGTCCATCACCATCGTATTCTTGAAAATCATCTTGACAAATGTCAGCGCAGTGGTCAGTCAGGCTACTAGCCAGACTACGCAGGGCATGAGGTGAGCTCAGACACTTCCAATAACAAGGAATTCGTTCTAACATAAGTTTTAGTAACGGTCATTCCATGAACGGCTCTCACAATCTCCTTTCCGATGCATCCATCGATGAGCTAGACAACATTCGACTTCGCGAGATCACCGGTAAAGCCGTGTCTGGAACTCTGTTACTTCTCCTTAAGTGGTTTAAGCGATCTCGTGAGTCTAAAATCTGGGTGTTTTTGTCTTACTGATCTGCCGCTAACTCATCAAGATATCTTGAAATTCGAATACATGACACAGCTGCTACTCGACTCCAACTATATCCCCTTGATTCTCAAAATGTTCGCACACCAAGACGTCGACCAAACGGTGGCAAATAAGAATGACCGGGAAGATCTATCGTAGGTTACTCAATCTCATTCGCTAGCTCGCTCACTAACACAAAAACTAGTTTCTTCCAGTTCTGTCAAAACAACACGGACTTCCCCTTGGAATCCGATGAAAACTCCGGTGGCGACACCGAAAGTGAAGACGAAGCCATGCCACCCCCAATCTCCCGCCACCGCGACCCAACGGCAAACGGCAGTATGGCAAGTCTCTCCGAAGAGGAATCCCTAGCGGATATTTTCAACGGACCGACACGCCCCGAAGTCGACGAACTAGGCTACCCAACCGCGCCCCTCCCCAAAGAACCAATCAAAGTATTCTCCTTCCGCAACTTCTTCTCCGCCATCAATTACCTACACATCATGCAAAAGATCACGCGCAACAAAGCCCACCGCTGCCTCTTACTAGTGCAGTACAAATCAAGCAACATTCTCCGCAAGGGCCTCAAGATTCCAGACCCGTATCTCCGCTTCTACACCCTCAAACTCTTCAAATCCCAGGTCCCCTACTGCGGCCGCAAATGGCGCCAGGGTAACATGCGCGTCATTACCGCTATCTACCTGTACTGCCGCCCGGAGCTGCGCGACGACTGGCTCGCTGGCTCTGATGTCGATGCTGAGGTTGATGAGGCTTTGCCGTTGGAACAGGCACTTCGTGGTCTTACGCACTGGTGGCATCTGCGCCAGTACAAGGATGTCATGGGCGGTGAAGAGGGTGCGTCTATGATGGAGGAAGAGCGTGATTTCTTTGTTCGAGAACTTGAGTCTATGGGCTGGGGTGGTGCTGCTGATGAGATACTTAATGGGACTTGCGAGGAGGAGGTCAGTGTTCCTGCGACGCAGGGCAACGAATGGGACGGTGTACCGCTGCCTATGGAGGGGTGGCCGTGATATCCCTGTCTTCTGAGGCAATGTGATCAATGAAAGTGTTTTCTATACCCGCTGTGGCTTTTCGGTTTGGTCATAGTCATGTAGTCAATTTTACTGCTATGTTTATTGTTTATGTTCGGGATTTGCGGTCTACTTTCTCTTTCCATAGTTATTTTAGGGGATTAGGTCTTGACGCTGGGCTCACACCTCGTTCCGATCCCGACAACGACCCCGTCTTCCATTAATCCTAAGTCCCTATATATACTCCGTATCCGATGTCAGCTTCTAACATTCTACTCCAGTCAATGACTACATCATTGACCCAAGCCAGGTCCGCACATTCATCGTCTGCACACCCAGCTGCTTGCCCAATTCTGTCGAGGTACTTCGCCAAAACTATCTTGTGCGCCATTTAATCCAACGTCTACAGCAAGCTATCAATAAATAAGGCCAAGACGTCGACTTACGGTTCTCACTTCTAATAGAAACTTGTTGCCGAACTCAAAATGCTTCCTGATACTACCTCCGTTGCTTGTGCTCTTTCTAACTAGCCACCCGCGTGCATAGGGATCTTCTCTCGTCAAATCGAGGCTTATAGATCGGACATCACACGTCGATTGATCTTAAAAAGATCAAGCAAAAACTAATGGGACGAGCCGGGATCGAACCAGCGACCTTGCGAACTTCAGTCGCACGCTCTCCCAACTGAGCTATCGTCCCATCTGGGATGATGTCATCTTCAGTATTGGAATTCCAATTGATGAAGATTATGGTAGAGCCAAGAACTAGTGAAACTAAAGGCAACTATGACTTCTTATCTGATTCTCCTAAGTCCTCCTGAGTATCTAAGACCTTGTATCATACTTTACTACTACGAATATCATCTGTACGGCTTTTCAGACTTGCAGGATACCTCTTCAAGTCGTATTCAGCCCTCTAAAGCGTGTGTGCATTCGTTTCATAATAGGCATATGCATATTTGTGCCTCTCGGTTCTGCTATATGACTAGTTATTATTTGAATAATCACGAAACTAATTGCCTTCTATCCACGGTTCAAAATATATTTCCAATTCAAACGCAGGGTTGAATATATACATTGAAGTCATACGAGGTCCATGGTCATATTTTTGTAATCATGTCCACTTACTTGTAGTTTCATTCCGAGGTTCATTAAAAGGTTATATGGCCTGGCACTCGCCGCAATGGTTACAATATATATTTGGTTGTGATCGGAGAAACGCTGGTACATACGCAGTTGATCGATATGGGTGACGATGATGAGCTTATGTGATACCCCGCTATGGCATAACTATACTGTATTTACCTATTTTGGCGGACAGTCTGTGTTTATTTCTGCATGAGCTCGTGTAGGAATATTGCTGGTGTTGAAAGCACCAACTGCATATATATAACGGTTTCTTTCCTACGTCTTTCTATGGTTCTCAGGCCTTAATACATACATTGCATCGCTTAGTAGATTGAGTTACTAAGTTAATATCTTCCGGTAGTATTCAAAGATATTAGGATGCACCTATAATAGGCACTCGTGTACTGCGAGATGGTTATCCATTGCATTCGTAGATGCCGTTTAGAACCCTAGGAAAGCGACCATCCTGTATTATTTAATCATGGTATCAACCTGGCGATCTTCTCCTATCCCGAATGGGACGATAGCTCAGTTGGGAGAGCGTGCGACTGAAGTTCGCAAGGTCGCTGGTTCGATCCCGGCTCGTCCCATTGTTTTTTTTTTTATCAAATTGATAATTTCCCCGTTTTAATTGTTAGCAAATATTTATGGTCACGCAGTTATTTTTGCCCAAAAGATGCGCTCTTTCAAAAGGGTATCTTAATAAAATGGCATAGAGTTGGGCCGGACTCTTACCGCATCGGGAGTTGCAAGGCGCTATACCAAAGGATCCCTTTGACTTGATTGAACATACAACATCGCAATAAGATTTATACTTCTCGGGCGTGTCCAGATGGGGTACGGTAAAATCATTGGTTCATTTTATTTCATTTCAATGCAATCTAATTACATTGTATATAGTAACTGCCATCGTGGACAAGAACATGCCTCGGCCACCATATCATCATGTCTCACTTTCAATTTGGTCTTTGACATGCAAAACTCCTTTCCGATGTTCTCTTTCTCTCCTCAACCAATACTCGTTACACCAAAGCCTGAAGTCCGTGCTCCCAAACACCACAATGACATACCCACCAGCTCCACCAGCCCTCAGAGCTCATGAGACGACTCCCCAATAGTCAACGGGCCCTTCTTGACCATGATAGTAAGGACTTCATAAAGCACATCAGCGGCAGCCCTGTAGAAAAGTCAGTATTTGTTATATCTTCCACCACTCAAAGCAACCTACATTGTCGACAACTCCGCATTGGTATCATAAGCCGGCGCAACCTCAACGATATCCGCACCAATGAAGTTCAAGCCGTCAAGACCACGGATGATCGTCCGCAGCTCGCGCGTGGACCAACCGCCAGTCTCTGGTGTGCCGGTAGCGGGTGCGACTGGATTGTATTATTAGCGACCGACAACCCACAATAGACATCTCCGACAAGACTTACAAGCAGGATCCAAAGTATCGATATCGATAGAAAGATAAACGGGGTTTTCAGTTCCGACACGGTCGCGAATCTTCTTGATAATACCGTCCGTTCCTAAAGTCGACAATCATTAGTACAGAGCCAACCTTGGAAGCGACAAGATAACATACCGATAACATCGATCTCTCTCGCCTCAACAATCTCAAAGCCGCAGTATCCATCGTTCTCGTAATCGGAAGGACCAGATAGGGTCGTGCGAATACCAGCATGGATATTGGTATCATTCTTCAACAATCCTTCCATCGCCGCATGGTAGAAGTAAGTGCCGTGATTGATACCCGCAACCTGAGTAGGAGAGCCACCGAAGACCTTCGGCTTCCACGAGTCCCTAATCAAATTAGTTAATCGTCCATGCTGTAATGCTAAGAGTACTCACAAATGACTGTCAAAGTGAATCACAGTGACAGGCCCATAGGCCTTGTTGATACTCCGCAGCAAGGGCAGTGTGATGGTGTGATCACCACCAAGGGTAATAACACGAGGAAGGGTCTTGCCAGCACGCGAAAGACCGGGTTTATCAGCATCAAGGTAAGGCTTGCGCATCAGGATGCTGTTGTGTCCCTCTTCGATCTGCTTGATTGCCCAGGCGTTGTCGTATCTATGTCGGATTAGTTTCTTGTCTTTGTATCTCCCGTCGAACGCAAACATACGAAGTAACGGGAACATCGCCACAATCCAAAATTCGCATATCGCTAGTGAACGGGTTCGCCTCCAAAGGCACATTGTAGCCACCGCTAAAAGGATAATTTCGTCAGCCTTGTTCGTGCCATGCATAACCATCTCTGTCTCCCGGGCTGGTACATACTAGAGATTGAGGCGGCGAGAACCTTGTCTGATACCGCTAGGTCCGAACCGGGCACCGGGTCTGTAGGAGGTTCCGGTATCGAAGGGAGCACCTGTTCGGTAGATATGTGAGTAGGGGCATTGTATGAGATAGTCTCGATCGGCTGGTAATGACTAACCTAAGAAGGCAATGTCGTATTTCTCGGCATCACTGGCCAGGCATGGGAAATAGGGCAGGCGGCCGAAAGTTGTGATTCCGGAGAATACGGAGTCGGCCTTGTTCGTTTAGTGAATGGCTTCGTTTGAGTTGAAATGTTATCAAAGGGGTTGCTCACCTGTTTGCCGCCATCTCCTGGGAGTGTGTTGTACCAGAGTCCTTCGTGTGGACCAGCAAGCTGGGACTGAGACTGGTCATGGTTACCATGAGCTGTGACCAGAGCAGAGAGGACAACCAAGCCCGCGATGGAGGCAATCATTGTGATATCAAGACTCAAATTTATGTAGAGAAGAACTTGAAAGTGTCAAAGTGAATACAAGTCGTTTGGATATAGTGCTAAAATGCAGGGCCTTCCATGATATATGTAGTCATCCATTCTAAGATATTTATTCTCTACGTTCCAGCTTGCCACGCGATAGTAATCCACTACCGTTATTGCCCTAATACAGACACGATTGACAGGAACTCGGCAATCGTACTATCTGCACTCATGAGCTCAAGATTGCAGTCAACCTCGGGAAAACAAGACAAAGAGAAAGTCCTTTGCCACTGGTAGGCAGCGTTTATCCTCCCCGCTCCCCGTAACTTCCCTTTAAGGAACCGACGTCAGGTGGAGCCTCGGTTGGTGGGGGATGCGGTTAAGGGCACATCATGCAAGGCAAAGCTATCCCGTCCCAAAAGGGAAGTCCTTGGGAGTGGGAACGTGAGATAAATATTAGTGGGGAAGATAACTGACTGGGGATGTATTTAGGGTTATTAATATATGCGATGGCTTATCGGCCGGTCGTCATTGGTGGCTGGCGATCTGCTAAATCCAGCATCTGGTAGTGTGCTTGTCCGACAACGGAGGATATTAATAGGGATGTTGTATAGTATAGTATAGTATATTGTAATGTATTATTGAATGCGATGCTGTTCACAGTACAACCGTTAGACGCATCTGTGATGTGTTGTAATACTTCGCATCTAGCGGACTTGTAAACGCCAAGAACAATTCAATTTCTATCTAATTGAGATGACAAACTCTATGTATAGCTAATTCTTTAGCCAATCAAATATCTACTATCCTTCAAATCGCATCCTCCAGAGTCTCATGTACATCCATGCGCTGGAAAGCCTTCTGCACCTCCACATCCCACCGACTGCGCGCAACAATAACCCACTCAAACACTCCAACCAAATACAAAGCAATACACTGCCCAACCCACAGACCCTTAAGTCCCCAGCCATGAAACGCAAGCCAGATACCTAACGGCAATGCACCGCAGTAATAACTCACCAAATTAACCAGAGCACCCACATGCTGCCGTCCCATTCCTCTCAGACTCCCCCCACAACTCCCATTAAGCCCATCGGCAATCTGGAAAAGCGCCACATACGGCATGACTTCAGCCGTAAGACGTACAACATCCGAATCATCATTGAAGATCTTGGCAAAGTGATCCCGCGTCCCGATAAGAACAGCTAGCACAACGCCACCACAAACCATACTCAGCACGGCAGAGGTATGCGCCGCGCGCGCCGCACCGGTATCATCTCGTTTTCCTAGTAGATTACCAACGCGGCCGGACGTCGCGACTCCAATTCCGAAAGGAATCGTATTGAGAACTTGATCGGCTGTCATAATGACACTCTGAGCAGCGAGCGAGACAGTACCCAGGTGGCCAGCTGCTAAAGCGACGATCTCAAATGCCCACCATTCTGTTCCAACGTGCACAATGCCTAGAAGAGCGAGTCGTGCAAAGGTGCGAAGGTTTTGGAATGCCTCGCGCGACCATCCGCCCCAACACTCTGCGCCGTTGATGAAGCGTGCGTAGAGAACTAGCAATGCAAATGAGAGCCAGTAGCAGATTCCCGTTGCGAGAGGTGCGCCTAAGAGGCCGATCTTGAATGTGTAGCAGAATAGGTAGTTGAGACCGGCGTTTAATGGTGAGGTAATTAGCAGCACGTATGTTCCAGCTCGCATGATTCCTATATGATGGTCATGTTAGTATCCATACCCGGATCAATCTCGTGCAAACATACCTTGAGCTTGCAGATACTTCTTCATAACCTCGAAATAAATATATCCCAAACCCCCAGGAATCAAACAAGTTAAGAACCTCGCGCTGTCGTGTGAGAGTTGAGGACTCTGCCCAAGGAACAAAAAGACAGGCTCTGAACAAGCCCACAAGATAGCGACGGGTATATAAAAAAGACCCAGGACCAAGAAGCCCCGCTGAAGCAGAATTCCCAAGTCATGTTTGTTGGAGCTTCCCGTGAAGGAGGAGGAGGCGAGTGTGTCCATAGCCGTGGTACCTCCTAAAGCAATCATCCATCCCGTAACCATGGCGAACATCTGCGAGAATGCACTCGCGGCGAGGTTCTCCGGTGATGAGCGACCGATGATCAACACCGATATTGTTTGAAGGCTGTTTTGCAGAGTGTAGGCTAAGATTACGGGAGTTGAGTCTTTCAGCAAGAGCCAGAACTCGGCGAGGATGAGGGCTCGCGAGAATGGACTTTCATCTTCGGAGTCGTGCAATGGTGGTCCATTGTCGATGGGCTTGGCGAGGAGGGAAGTATACTCGGTTGGTTGGTGACTTGAGCCTCCATTGCTGGAGGGGTTGGGCATGATGGAATTGGCGATATGTGCTTCGTAGTAAATTTGGCTCCGGCTTCAATATGTGATGGTTTTTAGGAAGTGGGGGCACAGTACGGTGTGAGTTCTTCCACTTGTTAAGCAAGGGAGTTGGAAGAAGCGAAAATACTTCCTGTTAGCAAACTGCTTTCGATTCGGAAAGTGTGAATTTATTTCAAGATTATGCCACGGCCAGCGTGGAGTTTGTATATGCACGAATATCTGGTACCAGTCAGTAATACGAAAATTCGCTACATGTGTATTCAACAATGGATACATAATACATAGCCAGTATGATTGAGATAATCAAAGCAATAATCGCCATGACATGTGTATTTTTCTGTTGGTCGAGTATCTCAAGTCCAAGTCCGATACCGGACGGTTCGACGCGGCAGGGTATTCGGTATACAACACGCGAACATGTTAGAGCCAACACTTCTGTGGCTTCAAGATTGGAGAATGAGATCGAATAGATCAATCTAGTCTTGATCTCTAACACGGGGAAGTCCACTGATGTTCTCTAATTGTTGCCTCGAAGTGGAAGTTGACTAGAGCGCCTTATCTTTCGCCTCTTATCATCGTCTCTGGCCAGTTTGATTGGTGCATGCAGACAACGTCCTCAGCACTCCTGTCACTTTGATAGTGGCGGGCTTTTTGCAGCAATGATAATCCTGATAGTTATGAAATAACCATTCTAATGGTTTGTGTACACAGAAAGGAGCAAGAAGGGAATGGCCACAATTTGACTGTAACTTGACTGTTTAGTTGTATACCTAATGAATGAGATGATATGACTTCCCTTAAGGTAAGGACGACTTTTATAATCAAAACAATGGTTATAATAGTATGCAGTGCCATGGCTTTCACAATCCGAGGCTCATTAGATGTAATAGGCTGAAACGTGCTTCGTGGAATTATAGAAACCCTAATGCGGTGCTTATCAGCTAGGCCCTTTCATCAGGAGATTCCGAGATTCTACCCCGGGCCCCCCGGCAGCACGACCAATAGACAGCCAAAGCTTGGTTCAGCACATGGCAACAGATAATCGACAGATCTAGTATATATGTCTTATATATATCATCTCCCAGATCAAGGCGGGCTCTAATATCATAGTCATCTGCCGGCCTATATACTCTTGGATACGTATTCAAACGCAAGAGTCTACAAGATGGCATCTTGCCCAACAGAAATCGATGACAAACGCGAGTTTGGAGAAAAAGACAACCAAAACGACGATGTCGACCCAACCAATACTCCCATGGAGGGCACTCAAGTCCTTCACAATGCAGCCGTCGACAAGAACGGAATCAGACTTCACCCCCAGCCAACATCAGACCCCCTAGATCCATTAAATTGGTCAAGCCTCCAGAAAAATGGCATACTATCTATCGTTATGTTCAAGTATGTACCAAATCAGCTCCGGGAATTGCTCGACATTGCCAGAAAACAATCTACGTCTTGCTGACATCTTGCTAACCCTTGTTAGATATTTCCTATTCACATACCTCACAACCACCACAGTTCCATCATTTCCAGAGATTCAAGATCAATACTCGATCAACTATTCGCAAGTCAACTGGACAGTCGCCGTGCCAGCATTAGGATTATCCGTCGGACCACTCATATGGTCATCCCTTGGTGAGATCTTTGGCCGAAGGGTGGTGTTCTTAGTCGGGACAACCATATCACTGGCCTCGACCATTGGGGCTGCTGGAGCTGATAGCTATTCGGGCTATATGGCTGCTCGCTTCTTCCAAGGATTTGGAGTGAGCCCAGCATCTACAGTCGGAATGGCAGTCGGTATGTCTCAATCATCACCTTCAGACAAGATTTGTATCTGACATCTAGTTTGACAAAGTGACCGATCTGTTCTATGATTATGAGCGTGGTCAGAAGCTTGGCTTGTGGGTTCTAGCAATTGATGCTGGTCTGCTTCTAGGTCCTACCTGTAAGTTGTTCGGACAGTTCAAACCACCATGCGTCAAAAGCTAAGATTTATCACCAGTTGGCGGCTTTTTGGATCTCGTCAGTGCCCCATGGATAAACTGGTTCAACGCAATCCTCTTTGCAACACTACTACTTCTCGAACTCTTCTTCATGCCGGAGACCCTCTACCCCCGCAACAAGATGCTTCAGCAAATGCCCCGTCTTGACGGCAACAAAGCTCTCCCGAGTGATGTTGAAAAGCAAATAGCAGGAGACGAAACGGCGACATCCATGTCTCCGGAGACCCTACCCTCCGAGCTACGCCGCACAAAGAACCTCCCTTTCATCAATTGGCGTCCTATTCCCGGAATGCGCCATCCCAAGCCGTGGGACTCCATCACTCGGTTTGTATTGACGTTCCAATTATCCACAGTGGTTATCGCAGTTGTCGGATTCAGCTTCGTCTGGTACTGGTGGGTTTTATCTGTTATCACGATGGTACCGGCAGCGTATCCGAACTACACACCTCTGATCCAGGGACTGCTGTTCCTTGGGCTATTTCTTGGGACTGTCCTCTCGGAGATTGGGTGCTCTGGGCGATTAAGTGACTTTATTGTCGAGAAGTTGGCGAAGAGGAATGGCAATATCCGCGTTCCGGAGATGCGGTTGTGGCTGGCGTACCCGGCTATATTGATCACCACTGGTGTGTTTGACTTGCCAGACTATATGTTGAACTCTACTGATAATAATAATTATTATAGTTGGGTTGGTTGTTTGGGGAATCAGTATCGACAAAAACTACCACTGGATGGTAGGCCAGGTGGCATTCTTCCTATGTGAGTTCTATCTTCCGGATTATATCATAAAGCATTCGACGCAGTGCTGACAATCCTCTAGTTGCCGCTGGTATCCAGATCGGAAATACTGTAACCAGCAGCTACATTGTGGACTGCTACCCACTACAAACAACGAGCGTGATCACTTTCTACGCCGTATTTCTGAACCTGAGTGCTTTTATCAATCCGGTATGTTGTCCAATCCACCTTGATAATGAGCTATTTAGATATTGATAACTGACTTCTTGGTAGTTCTTCATTGCCAATTGGCAAGCGTCTTCCGGTTGGACTTGGACATTCACTGCCCAAGGACTTATTGTACTTGGTGGCGGGTTTTTGGTGTTTGGTGGTCTGCATATGTTTGGGGCTTGGATGCGTGCAAAAGCACCACAGCCTTCGTGGGTCAATCCGGAGTTTGATATGGATCCTTGATTCGGTGGCCTGCTCTATGGAGCCATATATGGGACCCGATTTATTTAACTAGTTATTACAATATATATTCTTCATATTAGTCAACCGGATAATTCGGATAGTATCGATTTGTTGTACTGTTGACGTGTACGAGATCCGAATCAGCACCAACCGAGGCGAGGCAAGACAAAAGAAGCCTGAGAACGATGTAAATATATAAGATGAGTAGATTTTTAGACATCATTTGTAATACTATCTAATTCTTATGATTTTTAAACCGTAGGCTATGGTGGGTTTCTATGTCGTTTTGTATGTAGCCCACACCGGCAAAAGGTTTTTGATTCATAATATTAATTAAGCTTTTATCTCTATCCCAAATGGGACGATAGCTCAGTTGGGAGAGCGTGCGACTGAAGTTCGCAAGGTCGCTGGTTCGATCCCGGCTCGTCCCATTAGTTTTTAACACTTTTTTTTGCTGCTATGGGACGAAACGATATGGGAGTAAATCAATTGAAGTTAAGTAAGCATCAATTAAATCTTCGTAGCAGTTTCTCTGGCTCGCATTGCACAACCCCTCTTTTTTCTATGATAGTGAGAGATGACCAGAGAAAAAAGGCAGGTGCAGGGCTATTCTTTTCTCTTGCGGGATCTATCTGCTCGGCTTGATCCAGTCTCCCCTAGTCATGATATAGATCTCCAAGAGCGTTAAATGTGTCTAGAGTTGATGTGTGGTCTGGTCCTAGTGCTTTCTCACGTCCAGTTAGAGCCGCAGAAGCATCTATTCGGCCTCACCTATCGGCCTCACCTATCGGCCTCACCTAGCTTGTCTTGCTTACTATATAAGGCCCCGATATTATGAACAGCGCCTAGGGTTGATACATGGTCTGGCTATAGCGCTTTCTCGTGCCCACCCAGAGCGTAGAAATATTGGCTAATCTTGATAAGCCCAAAGAATGCTCGAAGTTTCCGACCTGCAATCATCCGCATTAGAAACCCCAAATCAGCTTAGTGTTCTGATTTAGGAAGTAGGCGACGTTGATATTCATGGGCATCCAGGGGTATATACTATTTCTTTTGTACGCTATTGGTCGACTAAGAGCTAACTTACTAGGAGAAGCCTCGGTTACAAGGCGCTGGCAGACAATTCCAAATCGACACTATCGAATTCGGACCGATCGTCCATCGTGGACGCAATCGGCTCCATCGATCATGTATCGCAGCCACAATATGCAGCTACTGAGTTTCCGGCTCGATAGCCGGTGGAGTCCTTATTTGATGTGGGAAAACAAACAAAGAAAAGATTCAAAAGTCTTCTTGATTGGGTTCCCCGAAAAAGCAAACATTCAAATAGATATTTACTAACCAGCCAGTTCTTTTAGTCTTGCTAACCGGCCCCCCCTTTACCCTGCCCTCTGTGACATTCTTCTCTTCTCAGAAAGACTCTCATGCCACCGTCCAAATCCTTTTTTCTTGACATATATTAATCCCAAAGCAATCGTCATGGCACCGCGTCTGTTGAACAAGATATGTCTTATCACCGGTACAGGCGGTAGTATGGGACGTGCAGCAGCCCTCAAGTTTGCCGAAGAAGGCGCCAAAATCGTCGGCTGTGACATCAACACTGTGACCGACGCAGCAACCATCAAAGCTGTACGAGAGCTAGGTGGTGAAATGATATCCATGTCCCCATGCGATCTCACAAAACGTGAGAACTGCGAGCAATTTGTCAACCTAGCCATAAAAACATATGGACGCATCGATGTGCTGTACAATAATGCAGCAATGGTCTACATGAGCTGGCTCGATGACGGCAAGGATGACGACTGGTACAAAACAGTTGACCAGGAGTTAAGCCTTGTCTACCTGTTGACTCGTGTTGCATGGCCATATCTGAAGGAGTCAGGTGCATCTATCATCAACGTTGGCTCTGCCAACGGCTGGATTGCAATTCGTGGAGTGCCGGCTATCGCCCACACAGCTACGAAAGGTGGTGTTATTGCCATGACACGTTAGTTCGCCATGGAAGGGCGTGAGCATGGTATCCGGGCCAATTCAATCTCACCAGGCCTTATCCAGACTCTGCAAACTGCACCTTTGCTTGAGGACCCGCAATGGAGATCGGATTTAACGCAGAAGATCATGATTGGCCGTATCGGGCAGCCAGAGGAGATCGCGGCTGTGGCTAGCTTTCTTGCTTCGGATGAGAGCTCCTATATAACCGCTGCAGATATTCGGGTCGATGGTGGTATGACAGCCTGGTAGTGGAGTTATGTACATATATCTTGTTGAATGTGAGATCAATGCATATCATCTCCTATTAGGGTTAACTACCAAGATAAGCATGTAGAAGCTAAAATATGCCATTGCAGCGAGTGTGACTGCTCTAGTCAATGCCGAGATGACAAAATATGATACAATAGAGGAATGCGATAGACATAATTTGGATATATATAGAAGTTTCTTGGTTCGTGGCTCGTGTATTGCCATTAAACCCGAGAGAGGTATGACTTACTATTAAATGTGATGGGAATGTCCGATTTATGCGATAGTGCGTGGATGGATTCCTGCTTCCAGGATATCATGCACACATGGTGCCAATATATGACTATCACAAATGTGGCATGTCTAGTATGTTTACAAATCCCGGTCTACGCAGACGTATAGCCCCTTTTAGGAAGTGTTTTGATGCTTGAATGCCCTAATTAGCACCACTCTTGACACCGCTTTATACAGTGTAATGCAAGTTATCCATGTATTAAATGAAGCTTTTGGCACCATACAAATTCTTGCATCTCTGTTTTTGGAGGTGGTTGGCGTTTGCAAGTTTACACCGCCTTCATGCTTTGTGCCATACCGCCTACGGGTAGTTCTGCCAGCAATACGGAGTACCGAATGGGGAAACCCGGAATCATCAGATAGTTAGAACTCAGCGCACAGGAGGAATACCTACACACGACACACAGAATGAAAAGGGAATGAAAAGGAGTTTACAGGACTATGTTCTATTAGGATAGAAGGATGATTGCTATGGTCTGTATGACTACGCTTACTAGCTGACCTCCTTGGATGGTGGTGTTGCTGTGTCACTCTTGTCTTGTCTCATTACCTGTCTTGTCTGCTAGGTCAGACTTCTCTTTAGTTACTGATTGCATACTTTGATTATTAAAGCATATGTAATGGTAACTAACTACAACATACAATATGATTCAATTTTCCTGCCGTTCCAAAATAGGGCATGAACGCATCAGTCCTCAAAGGGGCTCTGAACCCTGAGAGGTATGTCTGCGTACCCGGCCGGACAACGGGATTAGATTTCTGCTCAAATGGGTATATGGACCGGAGACATCCCTGCCATTTCGAAAGCTCGCAAATCAAAAATCTCTCACGGAATCAGTGGGTAAGAGCGGTTACTTGAAACCACCAAAAAAGTCAGAAGGGGAGTCAGACTCATCTACCTTAAACCCATTAAGCCCATTAAACCCGTCAGTACCTTAATTCCGACAGCATGACAGTCTGACTACTAGTAGTCAGATGCTTCTCCGGGGTTCAAGCTCTGATGGCGAAGTTGGGAACGGCACCTCCCGTTCTGTGTAAATTATTCCTGACCAATCACAGCGTGGAACGGCACCGTCGATTCGCCCCCACATCTATCCATGTACGCATCTAGGACAACGTTGCAAGCACAACATAGAAAATGAAGGACGAAAGTATTTATACCCTGCATTGCGACGCCTTTCAATTTCAATTCTCATCATATTCCTCCCCTTCCAACCTCTCAGCAAAATGCCTTTCTATAACTCTTACCCAGGCTTCCTCTATCGCCAGTTCTTGGTCTGCCCTTCCAAAGCCCCATCCACCACCTCCCTTCGCGGTAAGGCAGGTATCGTGACAGGCTCTAATACTGGCCTGGGCTATCAAGCTTCCGCCCAGTTTCTCGGCCTTGGACTCTCCCATTTGATTTTGGCCGTCCGTAGCATCTCCAAAGGAGAAGCTGCCCGAAACTCCCTTCTCGCCTCGCTTCCCGCCTCGGTCAAGCCCCCCGTGGTCGAGGTCTGGGAGCTGGACTTAGGCAGCTATGCCAGTACTATCGCCTTTGTCGAGCGCCTCAAGAAGTCCGACATTCAGGTCGACTTTGCTCTTCTCAACGCCGGTGTTGCCAACTTCAACTTCACCATCAACCAACCCACCTCTCACGAGTCAAGCATCCAAATCAATTGGCTAAGCACGGCTCTCCTGACGCTGCTATTATTACCCGTGCTTGATCAACAGGCTGCCAACAACCTCAACCGCGCTCGCCCGGTGATTTCCATCGTCGGCAGTGAGACAGCCGCCTGGGCTAAGTTCCCCGAGGCTCAGGTATCTATCAAGCAGGGACTTCCCCTTATCCAAGTCTTGGATGACAAGGCCAATTTCGACATGGGAGATCGTTACTATACCTCCAAGTTGCTCTACCAGCTCTTCTTCCTTGAGCTGTTCCGCAACCGATCCAGCGCCAAGCGCTCCACGGGCGCCATTCTGAACTTGGTCAACCCTGGTTTCTGTTATGGCTCTGAGTTGCACCGCACGGCTGAGGGTGCCTTTGGGAAAGTTCTCGCAGGTATGAAGAGAGTTATCGGTCGCTCTGTCTCCATGGGCGCTCGTACCCTGGTTCACTCATCGGTGTTGGCTGGCGATGCCTCTAATGGCAAGTACCTGAGTGACAACAAGCAGGCTCCATTTGCAGGATATGGAGACAGTGATTCTGGCAGAATCATCCAGGCACAGGTGTGGAAGGAGACAATCTCCGAGTTGGCCCCTGTGGTTGACATTGACAAGGTGTTGTCGCAGATTTAAATTCTTGTGAAGACGTTTGGGTTCTTTTTTTGATTCTTTTGTGTAATCATGCGTAATGTGCTGTCCTTGGTCAATTCTTCTTGTCTTTTGTGCTTACCTAGGTAGTCTCCTATACTTCTAAATGAGAAAGCTGTCGCATTCACTTGCTGCCGTAAACGGATCCACCTGATCAGATGATGACTAACATTCCCAATCCCGCCTAGATCAACGTATCGTGATTCATTGGCATTTGGAACAGCGCGAGAAGCTAACTCGTTATGATTTTGGCCCCCTGAAATGACTCGAAGAATATCTTTGCGGATTGTTTCTCTTCATAGGCAATCATCACCATGACTTTAAAATCAGTGGATGGGCTCACTCCACCCGAGCTATTACATTATCTGCCTACATATCGAGTATTGATCTGCCGGCGTTGCAGCTACGCTATCCAGCCTGGTGCTGTCGCTCGCCATCTTAAGGAAATCCACCATCTTCATCATTCATCGCGTCGAGCATTCATCGAATACGCCTCTAGATTTGAACTGACCCAACCTAATGATGTCGTCTTGCCCGATGAAACCCAGTTCCCAGTGCCTTTACTGCCCATACAAAATGGGCTAGCCTGTTCCTTTGCTCGCTGTGCTCATCTTTGTGTTACAACCAAGCGCATGAAGCAGCACTGGATGACTGTTCACCATATCGCAGCCTCTGATAACGGAGGCTTCTGGGACCCAGTGCCATTACAAAGCTTTTTTCGAGGAAATGCCTTCCGCTACTTTACCAACCCAGCGTTGTTGATCTCGTCGTCATCATCTGCCAGTTCCGATGGGCTACCGAGTACCGTAAGTCAAGATAATGACCACCAGCCACTATCAATCCAACTGATTTATTCCTTTAGGCTGTGACAACTCCAGCTTCAAGATCGAATCATGGAGAATCATGTCCCTTACAACCGTTGATCACAACCGACGTAGGATTACTCGATCATTACCAGAACCATACCTACAAAATCCTCACATGCGGCCCGGAGACAGATGATGCATTTCGAATCATTGTTCCCCAGTTAGGCACGCAATTCCCCTTCCTACTCCATGGAATCCTATCCTGTTCCGCCATCCACCTTGCTTTTATCGATCCACCCAATCGAGTATATTACACGATCCAGTCAATCCGACACCAAAATCAGGCAGCCCCTGCATTCCGATGGGCAACTATGCACGTGGATAGTAATAATAGCCAGGCCGTGTTGGCTTTTGCATTCTTCCTCGTCGTCTATACCCTAGGCTCCCAATCCAACGACGAACCATTGTTTCTTAGCAATGATGATAACCCAGAAGACGCGCCGTCATCAAACTGGATCGAGATACTGCGTAACGGCTGCTCCATGCTCTGTCCCGTCTGGACGGAACTCAGTACTGGCCCCTTGGCACCTTTTACAACCCTTTGGCGAGAGGATCTCGGCGTCACTGCCGACCCCAACGACCCACTTCTAATTACTCTACTCTCCGTCATACCGGACCGTGAATCCGACTCCGCTGAATGCTCTATATACCGCGATTCGGCTGTCAAATTGGCAGTCGCTTTTGCGTTTATCAAGACTTGCGGACCTTCGCCGAGTATCTGGGATGCTCTTAATTCATGGCCAATGCGCGTTTCGCCTGACTACCTGGCCCTATTGAAACAGAACAACCCGGGTGCTTTACTGCTATTGTCATACTATGCTATCCTTCTACAGCCACTGAGGGGAGAATGGTTTCTGGAAGGTCGCGTCATCAGATTGGTAGATGAAATCGCCCGACGATTAAGGGGGAATTGCTCGACACAGATCTGGAAGGTGTTTTCTACCATGCGGGAGGAGTATTTTTCATACTGATTTTATATGATTTGACGTTTTGAGTGATGATGTGACGTTTTACTATATTAACAAAGGGATTGATAATGCTACCGGGGGGGGGGGGGGGGGGGGGGGGGGGGGGGGGGGGGGGGGGGGGGGGGGGGGGGGGGGGGGGGGGGGGGGGGG